TTAATAAATATTTTATGTTTTTTGTTAAAGTATTAGAAAATAATAATGAAAAATGTTCTTCAAAAATATTTGAAAATTTGACATAAGAAGAAATTGGGGTATTTAATGAATTTAAAGAGGGAATAAAAATTTATATTTCAGAAACTAATGAAAACAATTTAAATGATGGAGAATTGGTTGTTTTTGAAGAAGAAGAAGAAGAAATGTTTGATATAAATGAAATAATTTTAGAATTAAAATTACAACCTTTAATTAATGATGGAAATTATTTATTTGAAATGAAGAAGGGGAAAATAGTAGAGAAAATTAAAAAAATAAATCCAAAAATTAATTTAATTAAAATTTTAAAATTACGAGAAATTAAAAAAGTTTGTAAAAATAAATTTAAAGAAATGGCTTATCAAAAATGGTTTATATTTAATAATGAAGAATATTTAATGAATAATTGTTTGATAGCTGAGAAATTAATTGATGAAGAAAATTAAATTTGAGAGGAAAAAGAATGTTTATAAAATTTGTTTTTAAATTAAAAAAGAAACATTTACTAATTTAAATTTTTTTAAATTTTCTAAAATTCCTAAACTTTTTTTTTAAATTGTCAAAATTATATATTTTTTTTCAAATTTTTTCTAAAATAAGTTTATATTAAGTAAATAATAAATTAATTTTTAAAATTTTTATTCAAAAATTAAAAAAAAAAGGAGAGAGATTTTTTACTCAAAATTAATTTTAATTTTTAAAAAATCATAAGAATTGAAAGAGAGGAATTCACAGACAATTTTATTTTTAAAAAAGATAAAAAAGGTATAAGTTTGATAAAATAATTACAAAAAGAAGGAGTTTAAAATGAATAAAAAAATCATTTTTTTATTAAAAATTTTTTCCATTAAAATTTAATAATAATCTAAAATAAAAATTAATTTCCCTATAAATTAATCTTTTTTTAATTTACTAAATTAATTATTAGAGTGTAATGGGGGTTGTGTTTAGTTTGTACATAGTTATTTGAGGATTGAGGTTCCTATGCCCGTTAGGGATGTTTTTATTTAATAATATTGGGAAAATTTTGGGGAATTATTTTTATTTTGTAGTAATAATGTCTAAATTTTATTTTAAAAATTTTTTTATAAATCAAAAAAAAATTTAAAAAAATGTCAACAACTCCAAAATTATTTAAATTATTTATATTTTTTGTTTTAATTATTAAAATTGTAAATTGTGGAAATTGTTGTGGTACTCCACAAGTTTATGAGGGTAACAACGACGAGGATAACAATAATGTTGGTCGTGGTGGAAATTTTGCTGGTAAATAAATTAATTAATTGACGGGGTTTTTTTGGTTATTTAGGGAATATTATTTAATTTTTTAAAGGTTTTGCGCACGAAGAAGTACTAAATATTGGATTCAATTTGGTAATTAATAAAGTCTTAACTCTCAATATACCTATCGAACTTATAGGGATTGAAGAATTTTTTAGTTATATTTAAAGATTACATTTTTGGGACTGCGGGTTTTCTTGCTATCTCGAGTGCTCGTTAAATCCTTACTATATCGGGGTTCGAATGTAACATAAAAACTATAAATATAATTTATTTAATATTTACATATAACATTTGGGAGTTTTTTTTTAAATTTCTGTTTCTCCGGTCATACGACCTTTGCAGATACGACCTTTGTAGACCCGATATTTGCAGATATTAATTTTTGAAAAGAAACTTTTTAATTTTAAAAAATTTAAAAATCCTAAAAAATCAAAAAACTTTTTATAATAATATATAGTGTATTAAATTAAGATCATTTAAATAATTTAATTCTTCCTGATTAATACAAACATATGTTATTCCGGGTCTTCTGGATCGTCCTCTTCCTCGCTTTAAACTCAAAAATTTTAATAAAAAAGAAGAGAGCGAGATGGGTCTAATCTGCAAAAGTCGTGACACGGTGTCTCTTAAACTAAAAAAATAAAACGAATTTCGAGTCGAGTTTATTCCTAAAAATAAAAATTTTTAGGCTAGCAGTAACGAAAGTGAGTGTTTTTCATCTGATAATGATGAGACTTCTTGTGATTATGATGATGATACTGATGAAGAATTTTAAGAAGTTGAAGATGATGATGTTTAATTTGTGTAAAAAAACAAAAAGAATTCTTTTAAACAATCTTTTGATTATTTTTAAAAATTATTTTTAAACAAATTTTCATTTTTTAATCGCTGTATTTTTAAAACATTTGTACATATATTTATGTATTTTTTAAATTTTGTGTGAAAAATTTGCTTTCTTTGGAGTATTTAATTTAAATCCTCTAATTTGCCTTCTTTTTTTGAAAAATTTCAAAATCAAAAAAAAACTAAAAAATTCAGAAATAAAAACTAAAAAACATAATAAAAATGCGAGCCTTGTTAATTTCTCCATTGTTGCAGCCGTGGACTAACAAAAATTTCTGTATTCTTCTGTTACAGTTCGAAACGATGACAAAGCCTAGTAGAGGCCCAAAGCTGCAATCCTATAATTAATTCCCCTTTATAATTTTAATTTAGATTAGGAATAATATCAATCATCTTTTGTTTAATTATTGGTTTGGTGCTTTTGTTTTTAATTTGTCAAATACGCCAAATAAAAAATTATCTCATTCAGAGGAATGTTTCAAAAACGGAAACCCAATTAATGACACCAATAAAACCTGTTGAGATTGTTGGAAAAAAGAAAGATGAAAAGGAAATCGAGGAAACGACTTTTAAATTTCTTTAAATAAATTCGGACCTCACTTCTAGCTACCTCATTGGGGCTGAAAATATTGTATTTTATAGTAATATCTTAAATAGAAGGTATCACTTAAACGGTTCACCGCCCATTGGCCAACTAAATAATAACCTGTTAAATTGCCGATTATCTAGTACTGAGTTATCTTATAGTGAGGTTGAATATTAAATTTTCTTCAAAATATCTTGGGCTTTTATTTTTAACATGTTTCTAATGGATTTAAATATTTGTTTTGACCAAGTTGGTTAAGTGGTTTAAGCCTGTTTTGAAGAGGGGAAGTTCGAATCCACAAGTTTATTTTTTAAAGTCTTTTTTTTTTGTTTATATTAATTCCATCTTAAATAATTTATTTTAAATATTTTAAATTATTTTAATTTTTAAAAATTTAAAGTACATAAAAATTCAAAAATCAATTTTTTATTTTTCTAAATTATACATAGGTATAAAATAAAATATTTTTTAGAGAGGGCTTAAGACTTAGAGAAATCATACAGCATTCTAAGTCTTTCAAAATAAGTCAATTTTTGTCAATTTATTTTTTTAATTGGGGAGGATTTTATTAAAAGAAGTATTTTTTAAAGAAGAGAGTAAAGAGAGAGAAGAGAAAATTGGGATGGAAAAGGGATAGGGGGGAGGGGGGTTAAGCTTAAAGATTTTTTAAAATGCCTCTATATTTAACTTAAAATTCTATCTTTATTCCATCTTAAATAGTTTATTTAACTTTAAAAAAATTAGTCAGACCGTCACTATACCAAAATGAAACTTTCGGGTATCCTGACTTTATTAAAGTAGTGAGGATTGGCTAGCTAATTTCTAGTTTGTAATAATTGTTAAGCTTCTTGTTGCTGTATAACCTTTTGCACTAGCTGAAGGAGGGAAATAGCTATTGCCCAGCTTTGCTTTACTTTTAAAACTTTCTTAAAAAATTTTTTTTAATTTTTAAAAAAATGTCAACAACACCAAAATTATTTAAATTATTTTTATTTTTTGTTATTATTGTTAAAATTGTAAATTGTGGAAATTGTTGTAGTGCCCCAGAAGTAGTTGAAGATGAGGATGACAACAATGATGATGTTGGAAATGTTGTAGTCAACAATCCAGGCAATTTAATAATTAGAGAAATTTTTAATTTTTTATACTAATATTTTTAGATGTTGGAGATGTTCAAGATAATCAAGTATAAAAAATTTTTCTTAGTCATTCCGTTGTCTTTCAAATATTTTTTTGTTTAAAAAACTAAAAAAATATTCTTTTTATTTTTTAAGGAAAACGATGATGGAGATAATCAGCATTTGGTAAATTTAATTGACTTTGCTCATGAAGATCATTTTGATCAAGAAAATGAGGGTGTTTCAAGCGATGTTGTTTTTACAACTAACGAAAATACTTCTACCGATTAGAAGCTCAATTTGACTTTGATAGAAAATTTAAGAGATTTTTAAAGGAAAAAAGGACTTTATTTTTGAGAGATTTTTAAATTTAAAATGTTTTTATTCTTTATTCGCTAAATTAGTATTTATTATTCGATTAAAAGTGGTGTTTTTGGTGAAAATTTGAAACATAAGGAACTCAAAAGATGTTAGGGGAAATTTTAGTTTTTAGTATCAATGGATACTAAAAACTATTTTCGAGCCAAACTAGATGACTGATATAATGAGTATAATGACCAACTCCCCGCCCCCCCCCCCTCCCCACCACTGTAAAAGAATATCTTTCCTTTTTTTATCAGAACTACAGTCATTTCTGCCTATTTTCTATTTGAAGCTAGTGCCTGAGATATTTCGTTAATTACTGACCATGACCACTTGACATCTTTTCTCAATTTTTGTTTTTTCCGCAGACCTGAAATTTATTTTTTCTTGACTTGTATGCAACAAACTTTTTAAAACAAAAAAAATATTTTTTTAACCCAAACCAACAACTGTTTTTATATTTTATTTCACCCATACTTTTTCTAATTTTCAAGCAAATAAAAAAAATTTTTTTAGATTGATCATTTCCCTTTTGGCCAATTTCTTCTTTGCTTGAAAATGTGTGAGAGTAAAAAAATTAGTTGGTAAATATTTTTTAAAAGTTTATTGAAAGAAAAAGCCTTTATTCTCAACAAAATTAATCATTATTTTTATTCTTCCCCCTCTACCCTCAGAAATTATTAGCTAAAAAAGAGAAAGTATAAACTCTTATTAAAGATTTGTTCAATGATCAGAAATGAGTTTAGTTTAAATATCTAAACTCAAAACAATATCAAATTTATTGTTTTAGTTTTGAGGGAATTATCATTACAAAAGTCCGACATTTTAGATTCCAATTTGCAATATTTTAGCTTTTTTCAGATTTTTTTAAAAACATTCCCCTAAAATAAAAACCATTTCTCAAGTTTTCGAACCTGAATTGTCGGACTATAATTATCACCCATACCTACACACTATATATTATTAAAGGCCCCTTAAGCCAAGAACAAAAATGGAAAACAAACATTTTGCATATGAGAGCTTTCAGTATCATTTCCCCTCCAATCTTTTATTTTCTGGGATAGATTCGACCGTTTTATTATTTCAACAAAAGCTCACTAAATAAAATTTATTTTTAATTTTAGGTAAACTAACTTTAAATTAATTAAACAATTAAAGTAATGCCACCAAACTTTTTTCAATTTTTCTACTTTTATATTTTTAATCTTTTTGTTTTAACAACAAGCAATCATAGACAACGTGTATCCTCAGAGCCTTGCAAAGAAGCAAGAGAATGGCCTTTAATTGGAAAGGCACATATTGAAGATTATTGTGGAAGGTAAAAATGATGGGGATTGAGTGGATTAGAGTAGGGAAATATTCAATTCTTGAATCTTTCCTATTCCTAACAAGATTTGTTGCTGTGTAGCGTCTCCCTCAACTACACAAACCCTTTATTGTAGAAAAAGAATTTTTCACAGCTAAGTTATTGGACCAGTTATTAAAATTAGAGCTAGGAACAGAATTAGGAGCCGGTCCTGTTTATCATTCCCTTTTTACAGTTTTTTGGAGAGGCTTGGAATGGGAATTTAACGAATTTTCCAGTCTTCATCCTTTACTTCCAATTCCAATCACATTGTCAGTTCCTGTTCACTTTCTTCCCAACTTTAATTAAAATATCACTTCCCTCATTTCAGAGTTTTATTGTTAACATTCATCTCTACAAGACAATGTAACCTTCAATGTGACAATACTTTAAAAAGGCTAAATTCACTTTATGAACAATATCCTTCTGTAAGGGTTATGGCTGTTGCTCAATCAAATGAAGATGAAAGGAATTTGCGTTCTTTCGCTCAAAGATATCCTAGAATACGTTTTGAAATCGAAAATAAAGGCAAATAAATTTTAAAGAATTAAAAAAAACACTAAATTAGAAAGGAGGCGCCCCTTACAGTTTTTAATAGGGAAGGGGATCCTTTCATATGCGAATTTAATTTATTAATTTTTAATTATAGATTCTCCAGTATGGAATTGGTTTAGAGTAGGTCATCTTGATCAGCTAATATTTGATAGGTTAGATATTTTAATTTTATTAAAAATTGCCTTGCCTCTATTTTGTGGACAACCAAGAGAAGAGAAAATACGTCTATAAAAGAGGGGGCTGAAAAATAAATTTTATTTCATTGGTATTCGAACCACTTATACACACTTTAGGGTATTTAACTATCGGAGGAGTCTATTAAATAGAGGGGTATGCAAAACAGAGGGGTTTTAAATTAAGGATATACTGTAGTTAGAAAAAGCTTATTTTTATCAAAAAAATTGCCACAGATGTTCTCGTAATTCAGCAAAACTCTCCCCAAGTACCCCTTCTTCTCCCCCTTCACTCACTTCAACAATACATGCCCTTCAAGCAACGCTTTCCGCACAGCCTTGTGGTAGTTGTGATTATGACTCAACAAAACCGGCACCTGAATGGCCTTCACTTCATCCACCGCCTAGAAGAATAGAAACAAGAGAAAGAGGGGTGGGAGGATTTTAAAAAATTTAAATAAATTTTTTTAGCAAATTTCAAGAGTTGATGGAACCCCGAATGTGCGCGCATCTAACGCTGTAACAAATTCCCCCAGAAATTCTATAAATAATAACAATGTTTCTCTAACAACTTTTGCCAAACAAAGAGAAAGAAATGGAAAAACATCCCAGAAAAAACCAGCGAAACAACAACAAATAATAAAAACAACACCAAAACCAGAAGAAACTACACAAAATTACAACAACATAATTAGACAAAAACATTTAGAACTACAAGAACGAGAACGTTTAATTAGAGAAAGAGAACAGAGGCAAAGGGAAAACGAAGAACAACAACGCAAATACTGGTTAGAACAACAACAAAAACTACAACAATTACAACAAAAACATGTTTATGTTCGTAATTCTGATGATGTTTTAATGTTGTTCTGATTTGTTTATTTTTTATTCGTTAATAATTCTGGTGTTTTGTTGTTCTGATTTTTTGTTCGATGTTTTGTTCTGATTTAATTATTTGTTTGTTGTTTTAATTAATGTTTGTTTTGTTTGTTTTTATTGGATGTTTTTGTTTATTTTATTCAAAACAATTTTAGACAACAACACCAACAGTTTCTTCAAAACACAAAACTCGTCAATTCCCCGAACCTACAACTCGCTTACCCGTTAATTATGCATCAGATCCTTACAGAAATAAAAACAATAATTATTTTTCAAGAAGGGAAGAGCAACAAAAACAAAACAGAATTTATCCTTCCCCATCTCCCCCACAACCTGTTGTTCATATATAAATTTTATTCAGACCAAAGGGTATACAATATACCACTAAAATGGTTGAGTGTGTACAAATAAAAATGAGTTTGGATTATAAAGAGTTTTAGACATTTCAAAGTAAATAAATAGGCACAGGTAGTTAAGCTAATTTAGGAGATATTTTAACTTTTTTTTTTGCTTAAAAATGTTTTTTTAAATTAACTTTTGCTTAAAAAGAAAAAATATATATAATTGTAAAATAAAAAGCATGTAAACTAACACAAAAAAATATGAATGTATTGGTAAAAAATAAGTTATGAAAAATATATGAATTAACTAAAAAGATTGACAAATAAATATGGGGGGGGTGGGTGTGGAAAAGGCGTGAGTTAAAAAAAAAATAAACATGATGAGTGAAGAAAAGGTTAAACCGCTCATCAAATTGCTAAGTGAAAGGGTAAATAAGTTAAGGGCAATATACCCATCATTTTAGTCAAATTATAGGATTAATTGAGGGATTCTTCAATGTTTAGGTTTGAAATTTGGTTTGTTGAATTTAAGTTAGTATTTTTAATTTTAACAGAATTTGCGGTAGGCTATGTTTTAAATTAGTTTTGAAACTATTTAATGTATGTCCTATGAATATATTTCTTGGGATTAAATTCCAAATATTTACTGTTCGGTTAATGAAAGAATTGATTGTTTTGGCATTTTTATTTGAGACCTGAATGATAAAATCATGCTTTCTACTTGGACGTGTATTTAATGTGAATAGCTCTTCGGGGATTAAACTGGTATGGTTAAATAGTATCTTATACATTGTTATCACGTCTATATAATACCTTCTAAATTGTAGGGTTTCGAGCTGAAATATTTTTAGTCTGTCAGTGTATTTAAGATTTTTTCTTCTGCATTTCTGAAGGGCTGACTTAGTAAAGAATTTTTGCACCCTTTCTAAATCTTTTGTTAATTCTTTGGACATTGGGTTCCATATAGGGGACCCGTATTCTAGTGTAGGAAGAATATATGTTTTAAAAAGATTACCCCATATTTTAGGATCGGATGTATGAATATTTCGTAGTATTTGATGGGATCTTAAAAATCCAAGTTTGCATATATTTTTTATATGTTTTTTAAAGGTTAATTTATTGTCTATAAGTATGCCTAGATCTTTTATTACTTCGACATGTTGTAACTCATGGTCTAGGATATTGTATGGTATTTTTGGATTTTTATTACCTAGATTGAATATAAAAGATTTGTTAAGTGATATATTTAAACCCGAATCTATAGCCCATGAGTAAAGGATATCGATATTTTCCTGGATGTTAGTGTTTTGCGTGTACACAAGAACGAGAACGTTTAATTAGAGAAAGAGAACAGAGGCAAAGGGAAAACGAAGAACAACAACGCAAATACTGGTTAGAACAACAACAAAAACTACAACAATTACAACAAAAACATGTTTATGTTCGTAATTCTGATGATGTTTTAATGTTGTTCTGATTTGTTTATTTTTTATTCGTTAATAATTCTGGTGTTTTGTTGTTCTGATTTTTTGTTCGATGTTTTGTTCTGATTTAATTATTTGTTTGTTGTTTTAATTAATGTTTGTTTTGTTTGTTTTTATTGGATGTTTTTGTTTATTTTATTCAAAACAATTTTAGACAACAACACCAACAGTTTCTTCAAAACACAAAACTCGTCAATTCCCCGAACCTACAACTCGCTTACCCGTTAATTATGCATCAGATCCTTACAGAAATAAAAACAATAATTATTTTTCAAGAAGGGAAGAGCAACAAAAACAAAACAGAATTTATCCTTCCCCATCTCCCCCACAACCTGTTGTTGTTGCTGGGCCATTAAATCAACGAATCCCAACCGTTAATAACCGAGAACCGTTGAATAAAAGCCCAGAACCAGCCCCTCTTTACCCGGAAGGGAGTGAAAACAACAACAATAACAACAATTTAGTTGAAGATACTCAAGATTATTACAATTATGAAGAAGTATGGACAACAGAAGGTAATTCCAAGGCTGGTCCCCCCCCTTTTTTTTCTGTTCCCCTGACCATTTTGAGCTTTTTTGCTTGGCATATAATTTTCAATATATCATTCGAAAGAGCTGTTCAAGCTGAGTAAAATGATACTATGATCGGTTAGATTTGGCGAATCTGAACAGATTTATGAAGCTAAATCCTCGAAGGACGTGCTTTTTGTGATGCTGAAAGGGATTAAAACAAATGCTCATAGCTATGTTTATTTAAGTCGGATTTCGATGAATCTAGTACCGTTCGACTCAGCTCGAAGAGCTCTTTCGAATGATATGTAATTTGCCATAAAAAGTTTAGATAATCGAAAAAAATAGAAAGGAAAAAAAAGGGGGGGGGGGGACCAGCCTTGGAATTACCCAACAGAATCCCCTCCCCAAAATCTCCAAATACCAAAACCCATAACAACAAAAGTAGAACCAACACAACCCTCTTCATCCTCCTCCTCGTCTTCTTCCTCAACAAACCAACAAGACAAAAACTTTGGGTTTGAATTGCCCTGTACAGGTTTTTCTGATGAAAGTTGTTTCCAACAACAAACACAACTTCGCCCAAACGAAATTCATCGTTGTTGTCGAGGCAGAATATTATTTTCTGATTTGTGTGTTTCTGGAAAATGTTCCAACACAACAATCCAACTTTGTTGTATTCAACGTTTTTTACAAGCAAAGTTAACTTGTTGTTCCGACGAACGCTTGGCAGAGACTAAAACTGGGGACCATTTTTCTCGTTGTTGTTTTGATAATTTTGTGGATAGTGACGATGTTTGTTGTCCTAGAGAATATGCTAATGAACAGTGGAGAAGTGTACATGAATTGTGTTTACCTAATGTTGAGATGGACTTAAGTGAAGTAAAGGTGCCCGTTCCGTTGATGGGAACCTCTCTTATTGTAAGTTTGGAAGAAGGGGAAATTGTGAAAAATATTGAGTAGGTCTCCGCCTAGAAATACCCCTTTGGGATTGAAAAAAATGGTATAACATAGTGAGGGGTATCGCTTAGACAGCTCCGCTCCCCACATCGTGACCAAAGGATATCTCTTAAACTGAGGTATATCCCGCATTAATGTGTATCTTCTAATCTGTCCAAAATAATTTTTTAGACGGAATTCGACTTTTCCAAAACAGACAAATGGCGTTTTGAATGCCGTTATGGAGGACATACAAGACAATTTAGCTATTTTGAACAACCTACAAGTCAAGAAGGAGAGGAAAATAATGAGGGAGAAAGTGAGGAAACTAATTGACGAAAAAGATTATTTTGTAAAAAAAATATATTCTCGGGTTTCAAAATTCACATATTTTTAATAGCTAGTACTAATTAAACAAGAATTTTAAATAAATTGGAGTATTTGTTTTTCAAACTGAAAATAAAAATTTCGTGTAATTATGTCGGATTTCTTTTTAAAAAGCTCTAAATACTGTACAAGTCCACTGTACAATTGTCCGACTGTTCAATTGTCCGAATTTACAATTGTCGTGTCACCAATTTGCTTGGTCAAATGAAAATTTTTTATTATTGACATTTCGAATTTTCCATTTTGAAAAAATTGGATAAAAAGTCATTTACATAAAGCCAAATCCTTGCAGTTCGATTTTTCTTTTAAAAATTTTGATCAACGACTGTCAATTAAAATCTCTTAAGTTTACTATTTTCTCTTCCCCAATTTCTCGTCCTTTTCTTGCGTAATTGATAGGCGAGAACGGCTTCTTACGATTATTAAATTTATTTTAATAGAGGCCAAGCTAAATATTTATTGATCTTATTTAAATAAAACTTGTTTTTAAAGCATTTTTTGCTCAAACCGTTCAATTTATTAAACTGTAATTTTTTCCCTATTTTTCTCGGCGAAAAAGTTTAAAAACTTATTATTTACATATATTTTTGATTACTCCAAACTTTACTAATAAAAATTAATTGTTTTATTTTAGTAACTGAATTTTTTCTAATTTTTTCTTTTTAAAATTAAAAAAAAATTTATCAGAGTTGACATTCAAGATTTTTTTCTAAATTTTGTCTGGTCAACGATTGCCTATTAAAATTACCTTTTTACTAACTCTTACTCTTGAATCAAACAAAAATCGAATAAAAAATTCTGAAATTTTCTTGATCTTAACTAATGATTTTTTTCTTATATATACATAGGACCTCAAATAAAATTTTTGTGGACGGGAAGAGGGGACAGTTGACTTTAACAAATTTGACTTTTGATTACAACTTTTTCTAAATCTCTAATTTTATAGCCGTTCCATTTTCAATTAAAAAAAATTTTTTTCTAGAACAAGAACAAAAAATATTAAATGTTTGGTTTTGCATAATCTTCACCTAAAAAAACAACACAAAAAGAGGTCACAAACATCAACAACAAAAATTTAAATAAAAACATTATTCAAAACTACACAACAAAAAAGAAGAGGATTATATTCTTTAAAAAATTAAAAAATGAACCAATTTCGAGTAACTAGTGGTCAAAAAGAAATGATTAGTGCTGCTGAAGATTATGCTGACACTGTTAAATTTTTTTGATTAAAAATTAATTTTTTGGTATTTTTTAGGTTCTTCGACACACAAAAAAGATTTTGCCTCATCTTGCACGCCTTTTCCTTGTTTCTACTTTTATTGAGGATGGATGTCGAATGTGGATTCAATGGGATGATCAACGGGATTACATGCAGGTTTTCTTTAGTTTTAATTTTTTGGTGAATAAGGGAATAAGGGGTCTTAGACTCCACGCTTTTTTAATTTATTAAAAAATATTTAAAGGAGTCTTGGTCTCTTGGATGGTTTTTGGCTGTGGTTTTTGTCGTTTTCAACTTTTTTGGTCAACTCGTTCCTGTTGTTATGATAATGATTCGAAAACATGTTGGTATTGCCTGTTCTGTGCTGGCTGCTGTTGTTGTGATACAAACTATTGCCTATCATATTATTTGGGATTTGAAGTTTCTTGCAAGGTTTTTCCTTTTTGATTATTTTCTTAGGACTACCTCCTCCCTTATTGAGCATTTTTATATTAGTATTTGAAATTTTGGTGTCCTAGAAGTTTTTTCTGGAATTTTGGTTAGCAGAGAAAATATACATCTTCAGTTATCTTTATTTCTTGTATTGGAGTTGACGGGTCCTGGGAAATCTCCGGGTCCGATATTAAAGTCAAAAGTTTATATCTTGTATCAAGGGCGTATCCAGGGGGGCTAGAGCCCCCACCCCCCCCTGAAATGGGGAAAAGGAAAAAATTTGGGGAAGGCCTGGGACAAAAAAGTGAATTTTTTTGGCCTACGGCCTCTGAAATTTAAAAAATTTTCGCCTGCGGCGCTGAAGTGATAAAAATTTATGTACAAAAAAATTTGCGTCCGGTACACCAGAGTGAACGCCAAAATTTTGGCGCACACCCAATGTTTGCCCCCCTCCCCGAAACCGACCCCCTGGATACGCCCTTGTCTTGTATAGTTTTCTTTCCGATTTGATTGTTTCGATTTATTCAAGTCTATTAATACATCGAAAATCAAAAACTTGGTTTTTGATTTTTTGTTAATTATAAGGGTAGGATGCTAAATGAACATTATTAAGTGTAAGCTTATTTAAAAATTAAAAAAAATTTTTAACAGGAATATTGCCGTATTTGGAGGTCTTGTTTTACTTTATGCCGAAACTTTAGAGGAACGAAAATCTTTATTTGCTGGAGTTCCCCAAATGAATGATGACAACAAACCAAAATCTTATATGATTTTAACTGGACGTATATTGCTTGTTTTTATGTTTTTGTTAGTTTTTTTTTAATTTTTTCTTTTAATTTTTTTTAATTTTTTTAGGTCATTGATACACTTTGATTTGTCCTTCTTTAAAATTGTTTGAATTTTTTTCAATTAAATTATTTTTAAAAACATTTTTTAAGGTTGAATTGTCAGTTGGTGTTATTTTGATGGTTTTGGTTACTATTGGATATAAAACTAAGGTTTTTTAAATTATGAAATAGGGATGGACCGAGACGTAGTCTCAAAAAATTGCGGTTGTCGACAATCGAGATTTTTCGAGATAAATATCGACTTCAATTTTTGAACGACCCTTCCATTTCGGTCTCTGTCTGGTTGAAATTAAAGTGTATTTTGAATCGAAATAAAATAAAAGCTTTTCTATTATGGAATGAGAAAAACCTAAATTTTGTTCAACTCTGGATTACAAAGCAAAAATATTTTAATTTTTACCCTCCCCCAAATGTCCTTAGTTTCTAATAAAAATCAAGACTAGACAATAGAGTTGTTTGTTAGGAACTGAACCGAATAAACGAGAGGATTTTCGGTTCAGTTCCGAATATCCAAAGATTTTCCAAAAACCAACAACCGTAATAAAGGATTTACAGGGTGCGTCATAAGTAATTGGACACTTTTAAAATCCTCATAACTTTTTTTATTGTAAATATTTTTTTCGATTTTATGCTTATTTTTTAGCCCATTCAATTCTCTATTATGGCTAGTCAACGCGATTCTATAGTTTCACTTTTTTGGCAAAAAAATTCTGTCCGCAAAATTTCATCTCCTCCTCCAGTAGCACGCATGTCCGGACATTTTCTTTACAGACTAAAAATTTTTTACAATAGAAGCCGTTCACAAACATCAAAATGATATAATTTGGACTTAAGAATCTCCTCTTTCCGATAAACTTATCACTCATTCCCAACATCCCCAATCTGTCATGTTTTGGGCCGGTATTTGCGCGTCAGTCAAAAAACCCCTTATTTTCGTGGATTTTGGTGTAAAAGTCAACAAAGACTATTACTTGCGAGAAATCTTGCAGCGTGTTCTGAAGCCTCGGTTCAAGAGCCATTCAGGTCGCAGAGTCTGGATTTTCCAACAGGACTCTGCTCCGGCACAGAAGACAAAAGAAATTCAGGACTGGTGCAAGGCCAATTTTCCTGGGTTCATTAGCGTTCAGGAATGGCCGCCTTACTCCCCGGATTTGAATCCGATGGTTATTCTTTTTGGCTATTTTGGAGTCCAGGGTCTGTGCTAAGCCTCAAAAAAGTTTGGAGTCTCGGCGACACTCTCTTACCCGAAAGTGGGACTTAATTACACTCAAGGAGGTGCGTGCTATTTGCAAAAATTTTTCTTCGCGCCTTCGCCTCCGTATCAAAGCCAAGGGTGGGCATCTCGAATTTTCTTGATTATTATTGTTCCTTATTTAATTCTCTATCATTTGATTGTATTTCGATTTTATTTGATTGTGTTTTAATAAAGTTATGAGAGAAAACAAGTGTCCAATTACTTATGACGCACCCTGTATAAATTTTGGTTTTTGTCTTTCTTGTTATCCTTCCTATATTTTTAAAATTCTTATCACCTACTCGATTATTTTTTAAATTTGTTTTTTGGACAAAAATATTTAATTTTTAATTATAGCTTTCTTCAATGATTCTTTCTTTTTGGCTATTTGCTTTGAATTTATGGCTAAACTGTTGGTGGACGGTATAAAAAAATTTTTTAAATAATTTAATGAAAAATATTTAAGATTCCTCAAGACCGTTTTTACCGTGATTTTATGAAATATGACTTTTTCCAAACTCTTTCTGTTATTGGTGGACTTCTTTTGGTAATATCTTATGGTCCTGGTGGTGCTTCTTTAGGTAAATATTTGAGAAAAAAAATTAAAAAATAATTTATTTTTTAGATGCTTGGAAAAAACGTGATTAAAAAGAAAATTTGAAACTCGCTTGATTTTTTTTTGGTAAAAAACATTTTTGTCCGCAAAAATCAGTCCCCAAATATGTATTACAAATTAGATAAGAAATAAATTTAATTTAAATAAATATTCAAGCAATAAAATAGGTAAATGAATTAACAATTAAATAAAATCACCTACAATTTAACAGCAAAAATACAACATATATGGGTGCCGCAAAAATAACCAAGCCCAAATAAAACCATGGCGAGCGAAGAAAGAGAGAGCAAAACGCAAGGCCAAAATGCAACCGTTATGTTATACAAAATATACCCGATGCTAGTTAACAATTAGGGGGTGGGGGCCTGCACCCTCTTGAGCGCCCTGATCACCAGTGGTTAGGGTCCTCAATATTGTATGCAACATTATTTTGATAAATAACGATCATTCCATCATTAGTTTCTCGTTTACCCTTCACTCTTGCACCACAAATCCACTCACCATGTAATGAACGCGCCTAAATTTAAGTAGGGTTATCAATGAGATAAGCATTGAGCCAGGGTTTGAAAAGGGTCGGAATAGGCTATTCATCTTTTAAAATACAAATTTTCTATAAAAAAGTTATAATGATTAATTTTACACACGAAAAAACATTACTTCTAAATCTTATGTTAGGACTCGGACTCAATGCTTATCTCATTGATAACCCTACTTAAATTTAGGCGCGTTCATTACATGGTGAGTGGATTTGTGGTGCAAGAGTGAAGGGTAAACGAGAAACTAATGATGGAATGATCGTTATTTATCAAAATAATGTTACATACAATATTGAGGACCCTAACCACTGGTGATCAGGGCGCTCAAGAGGGTGCAGGCCCCCACCCCCTAATTGTTAACTAGCATCGGGTATATTTTGTATAACATAACGGTTGCATTTTGGCCTTGCGTTTTGCTCTCTCTTTCTTCGCTCGCCATGGTTTTATTTGGGCTTGGTTATTTTTGCGGCACCCATATATGTTGTATTTTTGCTGTTAAATTGTAGGTGATTTTATTTAATTGTTAATTCATTTATCAATTAAACCTATTTTATTGCTTGAATATTTATTTAAATTAAATTTATTTTTAATAATTTATTTCTTATCTGATCTGTAATACATATTCCTTTTAAATTTATTGTTTATTTAATTGTGTTGTTTTCTCTACCTATATTTCATTTATGCTTTTATTGTGTTATGTTTTAGTTATTAGAAATCAGAATTTTAAACAAACAAGTTTATTCTTTTGTTAAACGAACATTTAAAATTCTGATTTTTTTACAAACAATAAATAAAATTAACTCTCATTTATTCCAGTAAACAGAATTAAATTTGAACAAAAACAGAATTTCAAACAAACATCCTTTTGTTTTAAAACAACTAAAATAATTCTGATAGCCAGAATTAAATTTGAACAACAAAAAAATCAGAATTAAAATCCAACAAACTACCTATTTGTGTTGTTTAAAAAATTCTGATTTTATATTTTATTGTTTAATTTCTTTAATTCTGAATTTTTTCTCTGCTGGAGGGGTTATATTTTAGTAATCTATACAAATATACTCATTTTAATATTTGTTGATTAAAAATATTCAAACTTTTTTTTAAATTTTATATTTGTTTATCATACATAAATTTAATATATCTTTTATTGAGGAAGTTATTTATAAAATTTTCTTGATTTAAAATGGAGGCGGGCTTTCCTTCTTAATTTTTTCTCCCAAAACTTCTTATTTTTGGCTGGGTAAAAAAATATTTTTCTTCGCGATATTTTTTTTAAATTGTCAGGAAAAAATTTTTTTCAGCAGTTAAAACGTGTGCCACGTATTTAGTTGTGTTTGTTCAATTCTTATTCATTTTTCTCTATTTCTCTCCCTTCCAAAATTAAATGCTTTTGAACCTAAATGTTAAATACTAATAAATTTTAGTTTAGTATTCAAATTTTTATTTTATTAAAAAATACAAAGGTTGGTGGTTTAAATAATTCTAACTTTCAATTAGCATACTTACAAAACTTAAATCTTTTTGGTTATAAAATCAGAATTTTTATTTCTTGAAGGTTTTTATGAAATTCTGTTTTTTTCTATTTTTATTTCGTTTAGGGAAGTAATTTTATAAACTTTCCGGAAAGAAGAAAATCAGTAAAAGTTCCCGGAAGAGTGAAATAAGAATTCTACTATAATTTTAATTCCGTTTATTCTTCCGGAAAATTCTATTTCTGATTTTTCTTCGAGAAAGTTTTTATGAATTCTGATTTTACTTTTACGAAAACCTATTCTGATTTTTATTTTTTTCCGGAAAGTTTTTATAAAATTCTGATTTTTATTCCCCACATTTATACTCAAAAAAGCCAACATTTAGAGAATAAGTTGCTATTAGAATAACTATTCAAGTTTAAAGGGTGGGGTTTATTTCCTCGTTTTTCTTCATTTACACATACATAACTCTTCATTTTTAATTTCCTTACCAATTTTTTGTTATTTAGGTATTTTTGTTTTAATCATTCCCTATTTTCAATATTTATTTTTTCCTCTTTATTTTCTCTTTTATTTTTGGAGGATGTTAATAGAACTATTTTGGGGGGAATGCAGATCATTTTTTATTTTTAAAATATTTGCAAAATCGATTGGACTTTGGCCAAATGAATAAAAACAAATCGGGTTATAAATTTGAATATTTATTGTTGTTAGATTAACCACAAACATTTACATACCTGTTTATTTTTGTTCCGTCCAATTGATTTGTAATTTTCTCCTTTCTTTTTATTTTTTAGAAATTAAAGTTTATTAAAAATGTGTGGAATATTCGCTTATCTAAATTTCTTTACGCCCAAAAAGCGTGCTGAAGTTATTGACATTTTGCTTCAAGGACTTAGACGTATGGAATATAGAGGATATGATTCTGCAGGTTTTTTGAGAAAAAATGTTTTGGGCAAACGCAGAAATGTTTTCCATGCAAGAGAAAAACCGGAACGTCTTATAATACCGAAAGCCTGAATTACCAAACCTCTAAAAGCCCTTGAAATGCCAAATTGCTGTTCCAACAACGGGGGAGAAAGTCTGCCGATACGGAGGAAGCAGTTTGGTATTTGTTATTATAATGTTTGCTGCAGTTTGGTATTTCAAGGGTTTTTGGGGCTTAGGTATTTCAAGCTTTTTGATATTATTTACAATGTTTGGTATTTCAATATTTCGGGTATTATAGAATCATGTCGGAAGGACTAGTCATTTGTCGTTCTTTGTTCAAGTTAACTCGTGGAATGAATGACCACGCGCCCCCCACTCCTAACAATAAGAATGGCGTTAGAAATAAGTGAACTTTTCCCTATGAACCCTCGGATTGCTTGATGGTAAAAGTATCGTTCGACCCCTGTGTCCTATTTACTTTTGCCTTATGTAAAATAAGGAAATGGTGTGAAGAATAAAGGGGCCTTTGACTGCATGGTTTTTCTGTGTGTCCAAACAAAAATTTAATTCCGCCTAAAATAACTAAAAAACTTTTTAGGTATCGCAATTGACAGCAGCAACAATAACTCCGCCGACAATAAAGACCAGAACGATGTTGGTGTATTTAGAAAGACTGGGAAGGTGGATGCTCTTTATGACCATATTAAAGGTATTTAAAGAATGTCAACAACAAAATTGTTTTCAAATATTTTTGTGTAAATATGCTGGGTATTTTACTTTATGCTTCCGAAAGTCCGCAAGTCTAAGTTTTATTAAAAAATGGCTTTCGGGTAAAACTTGCGGACTTTTGGAAATATAAAGAAAAATCGGCAATCCCGGAGAATAGGGGTTTCTTCGAAAAAAAATCTTAAAAATAAGAAAAAAAATTTTTCTAGGGTAAAAAAATATGCTGATTACGAATCCGAGCTCGGATTTTGAAAAAGTCGTACCCGGACCCGAATATAGGTCCTACAAAATCGAAAAACCATAGGGGGGACCAAGCTGATTTTGGGTTGAAAAATTCGAATATGCAAATAATAGCTCATTCGAATGAACTTGAACAGCTGAGTCGAATGACACAAAAATCACCGTGATTGAAAAAGATCTGGCGAAGTTATGACACAAAAAACAAACAACGTAAACCTATGTTTTTTGTGTTGTAACTTTGTCTGTTCTTGTTTATTCACGGTGATTTTGGTGTCATTCGACTCAGCTCGAGGAGCTCTTTCGAATGAGCTATTATTTGACCAATTTGCGTTCTGCGAAATTTTTCCCAAAATGTCGAATGTCCGAATTCGGTTCGGGATTCGACTTTTTCAAAATCCGAGCTCATATTCGTAATCAGCATATTTTTTACCCTAGAAAAATCCTTTTTCTTATTTTTAAACTTTTTTTTCGAAGAAACCCCTATTCTCCGGGATTGCCGAAAAATCATCTTGACTTTAGTATATTAAAAAAATTCAGATGCAAAGGATTTGGATATGGAAGTGACTTATTCTGGTGAATTCTTTTATATGTATAAGCAGTCTTAAAAAATTTTTTAAAGTTCATTGCGGTATTGGACACACCCGTTGGGCAACTCATGGGAAACCGAAGGATGAGAATGCACATCCACAACGTTCAAACACTAACAACGGTAATTATTATGTTGTTAATAGATCCAGAGGTTAGGTTGGAAGATAGGTTTTTCGGACAAGAGTTGCGGGCATTAACCATATATATTGTAAGGGCATGCTGGACGTCTTTTCTATATCGAATCTTTAAGCCAAATTTTTAATTTTTCCCAGACTTTGTTGTTGTCCACAACGGCATTTTGACCAACTACAAAGACATCAAAGGCTATTTGGAACAGAAGGGACACAAATTTGAGTCGGAGACTGATACTGAGGTTTGGATCTTAATTATTGTTAGAAATCAGCAGAAATTTTGCGGGCATTGACCGAAAACAAATTATTTAAGCTTATTTAAATTATTTTGTCAGGTGATTGCAAAGCTCGTCCAGCACATTTATGAACGCCATACAGATTTTAGTTTTCGTCAGATTGTCGAGATGGCTATTCAACAATTGGTTTGTGGATAATTTTTAAACTGATGAGATTTCTTTTGAATAAAAGATTAAAAAAGACGTTTTGCCAAAATTTGAATAATTTTCAATTTTTAGGAAGGAGCATTTGCCTTAGCCTTCAAAAGTCGTCACTATCCAGGTCAATTGGTAGCTGCTAGGCGTGGAAGTCCTTTGCTTGTTGGTATCAAAAGTGACTCACGGCTTACTACAAATCATTTTCCTGTTAATTACAGCAAAGGTTTTTATTTTTTCAAAAAATATTCGCAGAATGCCAGGGGTGCGAGAAATTTTTTTAATTTTTCGTTTATTTGGGTATTTTTTTAGACATTGGCGTTCGGGAATGGCGCGAAGAAATAGTAAAATATTTAATAAGCAACGATGATAAATCTGGTAAAAACGGTCAGGATATTTAGCTGGCTTTGATATTTCCTGCTTTTTTTTAAATTAGAATAATTTTCTTTCAATTAAAAATGGTTCTGTCTTTTGATTTGCTCTATCTTTTATGCTTTCCTGATACACCTCTCTATTTATTTATCTATCAACAGCTCACAATCAGTCTACCGCAGACTGGTAACTAACAATAAGCTTTTGAAACAGGGATCGAAATTTCAAAATCCCCCCAGATTTCTATAGTACCATAATCTATTTTGTAGGGCATCTTTCCGTTCGGTTGTGGTTCTGCGTTAGAATGGGCTGCTGCCACCTATGCTTTTACTTTGCTTGCCTCTCTTTTTTAATTTAAAAATATTTTTTTATTTTTTAGATCAATGTTATGCTCTGGGAAAGACTCTTAATTTGGACGAAAGTGATACCCATCAAGCTTTAAATACACCTCCTCCAGGTGTGGCACCAATCACTACTGAGGTTTTTAATTCTGCTCGTTCGTTTGCTGGTGGATTCCCTCCTGGTAATTATTTGCTTTTGAAAAATAAAAAATTCGCATAAATTACGGATTTTTTGCAGATTTTATTTAAAAACTAAATTTAAATTTTTCTCTTAATTTTAAGAGATTCTTACCTCAACGGCTCATAAATCTTCAAGACCTGCAAGTCAAGAGGGAACTCCTCGAAGTATTCGTCCATTTGACACGACTAATTGGGAAGTTGAATATTTTATTGCTTCGGATGCGAGGTTTTTTATTTAAAAATTTTTTAAGTAAATTTTCTTTCATTTTAGTGCAATTATTGAGCATACTCGTCAGGTTATTTACCTTGAGGATGATGATATTGCCTTTGTTGAGAATGGTGCTCTTTCTATTCACCGAGTCAAGAGGGATGGGGAAGGACAGCCTGAGGAACAGACTCGAGAAGTTCAACGTCTCACAATGGAATTGCAACAAATTATGAGGGGAGAATACAAGACGTTTATGCAAAAAGAAATTTTTGAGCAACCCGAATCTGTTGTTAATACTATGAGAGGAAGGGTATTGCATGAAAGTGGAAGTATTGTTTTGGGTGGAATTAAGGTTTTTAATTTTTTAAGATTATTTGTTGACCACCGAGGCTTAAAAAAACAGACCTGAGACATTGTGGTGTCCATATCAATGCTGGTCCTGAAATTTATTAGAGGTTTTTATTCCTCCAAGCTTTTTGATTTTTCGGCTTCAATGGAGGAATAAAAACCTGGGTGTCCTAACCATAGGGCCGAGGTACTTTTGAACACAACTTTGCTCAACATTATCGACTAGCATCGTATGACTACAAGACTACCACTTTAGGCTCACGACACATTGATCTCTCCCTTCAGTGATTAATTATGAGGACCAAAATTTTTAAGCTTTAACTTAATTTATAGGATGTTCTCTAATACCGTTCAGTGAATATATTTTTTAATTTATAGACTTTTATGAATGACATTCGCCGTTGCCGTCGTTTGATAATGATAGCTTGCGGGACTTCTTACAATTCAGCATTAGCCTGTAGACAATTAATGGAAGAACAGACAGAATTGCCAGTCGTTGTTGAATTGGCGAGTGATTTTTTGGATCGGGAAACGCCGATTTTCCGAGATGATGTTTGCTTCTTTATTAGTCAGAGTTGAGAAACTGCTGATACTTTAATGGCTTTGCGGTCTTTTTTTAAATTTTATTTTAATTAAATGAAAATTTTTTGTAAAGTTATTGCAAACCTCGTGGTGCTCTCACAATTGGAATTACCAATACTGTGGGTAGTTCAATATGTCGTGAAACGCATTGTGGTGTCCATATTAATGCTGGGCCTGAAATTGGTGTTGCGTCGACTAAGGTTTGGGGGAATTTTTATAAATATTTTTTAAGTGAATAATGAGTTGTTGTGGTGACCAGACATTTGCGGCCCACCGCTTATGTTTAAAATTCATAAAATAGGTATTTTAGAATGGAAAATAATTCGGTCCCGAGTTAACTGAATTTAAAAGCCCGGATTTTTACGTAAATGAATCACTGAAGTGGCCCTCCCCGCTAACTGACCACTGTCTTTCCACTTTTTAACTGCAAAGCCTATCACTGTCATTGCTGCCTTATATACAGCTGGTAAATGACCAGGGTCGTTTCTATGATTTATATAAATCCTCCCTCTAGTCATTAAATATCGACAAGCGTGGTCCTTGAACTGATTATAACTTGTTTAAATTTTTCTAAATCTTAATTTGTAGGCATATACTTCTCAAAGTATTGCTCTTGTTATGTTCGCCTTGAGCATGAGTGATGACCGTATTTCACTTCAAAAACGACGTACTGAAATTATTGAGGGGCTGAAAGCTGTTAGTGGTGAGGGAATTAATTTAAATAAATTTTGTAAAATTTTAATTTTTTAAATTAGATCAAATTAAAAAAGTTCTTCTAACTGACAAGCAAGTATTGGAAATTGCTCAAAAAATTTATAAAGAGAAATCTATTTTGGTTATGGGTAGAGGTTACAATTTTGCGACTTGTCTTGAGGGTGCTCTGAAAATTAAAGAACTTTCTTATATGCATTGTGAAGGTTTGGAAATAAGAAAATTTTATGGAAAAATATTAATTTTTTAAAGGTATTCTCAGTGGGGAGCTTAAACATGGTCCTCTGGCTATGGTTGATGAGAATAAATGCATTGTTATGATTATTTGTAATGACAACGTTTACATTGTTTGTTATTTAAAAATATTAATTAATAGACTTTCCGGAAAACAGAATTTACACAATAAATATAAATTAAGAATCAGAATTTTTTAGAAAAAAGACAGGGAAAAATTTGGAATTTTATAAAACTTTCCAGAAAGTTTATTAACAATAAGTGAAAAGTTTATTTATTAATATTTCTGGAAAACTATCAGTATTTATAAAAGCATTCCAGAAAAAATCAGAATTAAACTTCAATATATTTTCAACCCCATTCTTTTTTTCCAGCGTTCTCTCAACGCTATGCAGCAAGTTATGGCTAGAGGAGGCAAACCGATTGTTATTGCTGACGAGACTGTACCTAATTCTGACTTGGAAGAAGTTGAGCATATTATTCGTGTTCCAAAAACGGCAGATTGTCTTCAAAATATTTTGAGTGTTATTCCACTTCAATTACTTGCTTATCACGTTGCTAATTTGAATGGATTTAATGTTTGTTTGGGAATTTTTGATTTTTTTTTTATTTAAAAAATTATTTTTTAGGTGGATCGACCTCGTAATCTTGCAAAGTCGGTGACTGTTGAGTGAATATTTTTAATTAAAAAAAATTGATTTTGGGAGAGACTTAAATATATTTTTTAAAATTATTTTGACCTAAAAGAAGGAAAGGAATTTAACTAAAATAAGGATATTTATTTTAATTTACCGTATTTTTTGTATTAGAGCCCCACGTTGAATTAGAGCCCCACGCTGTAATAAAGCCCCACTTTCAAGGATAGTTGAAAAATAGAGCCCCACGCTGTATTAGAGCCCCACGCTGAAATAGAGCCCTATTTTCTAAAATTTACCTATTGTATAATAAATTATTATTTTTTAATAACTATACTGTTTTTTTTCCTTTTATCTAATGTTCTGTGCCAAATTTAGATATTATATGTGATTAAGAGAATATTTGGGGATAAAAACACCTTAAGCTGCTCCAAATCCTCTACAATAGAGGGATTTGGATGTTATAAGAGATATCAGAGATTCTTTTATATACTGGCAAGCATAGATATTGGCGAGATCAGCCTAGTTATCAGCAGATTCATCTCAGAAATCCTCCGCTATCCGATTAATCCCCAAATCATTTATACTCTCAAAATCACTCGATATCCTTATTAATCTCCAAATATCTTCTTAATCACCTTAATCCCATCTATATTCTTCAATTGGGACTGAACCGAGATATATACACGTAGTGACCGTGCGGACTGAAGCAAAATATAATCGAACCTTCAAAGGCTCGATAGGATTCGAACCATCCACAAATTAAAATTCGGCTTTAAATCCACCTCAAATCCAAATAATCGTGCCATACTGTACACGCTAACTATTAACTTTAGAAATATCACAATGGTGAAATTTGTTTTTGTGACAAATTTCACCATTTGAGTAAAAAATAGGCAGTTGCATACATATCACTGCCTTACTTATAATTGAAAATTCCCTTATATATTTTCAAAAATTGGTTGAAAAATAGAGCCCCACGCTCTATTAGAGCCCCACGTTGTAATAAAGCCCCACTTTGAAGGATAGTTGAAAAATAGAGCCCCATGGGGCTCTAATACAAAAAATACGGTATATGTTTTTAAATGGTCAGCCCTCATTTTTAGTTATCCCTTGGAGGTTAAGAAAGTAATTGTTAGGATTACTTCAACTCCTAGTTGAGCTCCCACTCCTAGTTGAGTATCAGATTAAATTCCCTTTTCTTTTTTGCCTAGGAATAGTCAAATTTCCTTTAAAAATGTTCATTTCACATCAATTATGATAGCCTAAACCCGGTTTAAAACGGCTATTCATTATCGGTGGGGCTAAAAAAATTTCCACTAAAGGATGATATCATGATTATCGTTTTTAAACATATGATGTGGAATATCTCCGGCTGATGGGTTTTTTTCTTGCAATTTTATTATAAATTTAGGTTCGCGATGAATTTGGCGCATTCATATGTCAAGCTCGCTTGAAGGTTTTCATTGAAGGACAGGATGTTACGATTTTAGAAAATCTTATTCCTCACAATTTTGCCCATCCTAATCATCCTAATGATTAGGATGGGCAATCGGGGGTGCCGCTTTTTAAGCTGGGGTTGATTAAAAATTTCTAGGGTCTATTGCATCTTACCAAAACCTTTTCTGTCTTTATTGATTTTTTATGTTACTGCCGTTTATACCCATAATTTTTTCTCTTTGACAGTTAAAAAAATGGATATTAATAAAGCGGGGTTGATTAAAAATTTAAACAGTTAAAAAAGCGTATTAATAAAGTACCCATTTTATTTTTTAACTGTCAAAGAGAAAAAATTATGGGTATAAACGGCAGTAACATAAAAAATCAATAAAGACAAAAAAGGTTTTGGTAAGATGCAATAGACCCTAGAAATTTTTAATCAACCCCAGCTTAAAAAGCGGCACCCCCGATTGCCCATCCTAATCATTAGGATGATTAGGATGGGCAAAATTGTGAGGAATAAGATTTTCTAAAATCGTAACATCCTGTCCTTCAATGAAAACCTTCAAGCGAGCTTGACATATGAATGCGCCAAATTCATCGCGAACCTAAATTTATAATAAAATTGCAAGAAAAAAACCCATCAGCCGGAGATATTCCACATCATATGTTTAAAAACGATAATCATGATATCATCCTTTAGTGGAAATTTTTTTAGCCCCACCGATAATGAATAGCCGTTTTAAACCGGGTTTAGGCTATCATAATTGGTGTAAAACTTAAATGACCTTATTCAAAAAGAGCGAAAATCAAATTAACGGCAAAATCATCATTTTTAAAGTTAATTTGACCATTTTTGGGCAAAAAGTAAAGGGAAATTAATCTGATATTCAAATAGGGGTGAGGGGCAAGATATGAACAAAAACTACTTTATTTTATAACGAGTGTTATTTAATTTTGAGAATATCTAAAAATGAGGCTTTTGACTATATTTTTAATTTTAAAATAAGCATAATTTGACACATTTTTAATTTAAATATTGTTTTAAGCCTTATAAAAAGAGAAAAGGTTTTATGTATTTTTATATTGTTGAGAATAAATATACATATAAATAAATATTTATATTTTCTTTCCGGTATAATTTACATAATTCTGATTATTTAAATTAAGACAGTTTAGTAAATATGTTTTCTATAGAAGTTTTTCGGAATTGCTTATATTTATAAAATTTTGATTCATTAAATTAAACACTCAAGCTTTAAATGTTAATATACATAAAAATGTTTAATCACTATTTTTATGAACAAAAATAAAAAATACAAAAAAGTGCTAGACGTTATTTTAAAAGAAATTCTACTAAAACTAGTAGAAATCACGTCTAGCAGGGGTTTACAAAAATGAATATTCACAAAAATCTGGTAGATATATAAATGTGAGAGGAATGTGAATAATGTGACGAGATTTTTAATAGAAATTTTCTTTTTAGATTATATTATATAAAGAAATTTCTGAGTAAAAAAAATAAAATTCTCATCCCTCGAAAACTGAAAAAAAATTTTTAGATTGTTTTCATTAAATAAATCAATCACCCCAGTATCCACTTTTCACACTCTGTGCTCTCTCCAGTGTTTTGATTAATCAGCTGTCCCATTCTCTTTAGGCTTTTCATCGTCCTCAATCGGTTGCAGTGTATGCCACTGTGCTATTGGCCGTCTTGGGGAGGCGAGCATATCCTTTTATTTTTAAATTAATATTCAGAAAAAAATATAAACACCATCCAATGACGCAATTCGGCACCCGTTGCTGCACATCCCAACAACACTCGACCTATTGCATCATTCGAACCAAGCTTGTCATAATCCATTACTGTGATCAATAACATCACTTTCTGCAAGAAAAATGGAGGTGATAATTTTATAATTTTAATGATATTCTGGAATACAACTTTAAAACTTTCCGGAAAAGCAAGCAAAATAAGTTTTAGAATTTGCAGTAAAGAATGAGATTTACAATTTTCCGGAAAATAAAAGGAAATATTTGTGAAAGAAAATAATTATAATTTAAAACTTCCGGATGTATAATTCCCGGAAAATATTGTATGTGTTTTATGGAAAATACATATTAAAATTAGAAACCTTCCGGAAAGTATATTTTTTGGAGAGTAATGTGTATTTTCCGAAGGAATATTATTTTTCCAGAATTATCGAGTAAATTTTCTGAAAATATTTTCCGAAAGATAAATATAATAAAATCAGAATTTATAAAAATTACCTGTATTTGTTCAAACGGAACCTCAAAAGAGAACGACTCATTATAGTAAGGATTTAACGTGCATTTCTTGATTGACTATAATTAAATTTATTTTTAAAATTAAATTATAGACTAATTACCGTTTTTTTCTTTTTCAGTCTCTTTCCACCTTGCATTAAAACAATTTTTACGTATGGATCTGGAAAAAAATAATTTTTTTAGATTTTAATAAAATTATTCGTTTCTACCAGAAAGACCGCCAACATCCATCTTTTTGAGATTTTTTGCTTCCAGTACAACAACGGTTAATTTTCCAGCAGTCGGCACATAACGTAAAGAGAAACAAATATCCCCCAAATTTTTTTCCTACAGAAAAATAAAATTTTAAAAATTATTTTTAAAATTATTTTTACCGCCTCCTTATCATCAGGTGGGGGTTGAATATCTTTCCATTCTTCAATTACTTGACCTAAGTCAATTTTGCCTAATGGCAATATTACTTGGCCTATTTGATCGTGTTTTGAGAAACGGTCAAAGTCGTAGATGGAGAAGACAAGTGTTTTACTGGGCAATTCGTTGAAGGGAACCTATAAAACCAGAAAATTACAAACTTTTCCGGAAAACATCAGAATTTCGAAACTTTTTCGGAAAAAATAAAATCAGAATTTTACAAACATTCCGGAAAACATATAAAATCAAAATTTATTGTCTTTCCGGAAAACAATAAAATTTACAAATCAGAATTAAACATTAAACTTTTACGGAAAATATAAAATATACTATATAAAACTTTCCGGAATACCTTAAATATAAATGTTTCATTGAAGACTGGATTGAGTGTCTTCCTGTGCACTTTTGTTTCTACTTTCTTTTTCTTCTCAGGCAACAAATAAAGCTTTACATAAGGGTCCTAAAAATAATTTTAATAAATTTTATTTTAAATATTTTTTATTACAGAAGTTCCAGACATATCCATTCCTGGCAAATTCTCTGCTTGGATTACTGTTACGGCTAACTAAAAAATTTTGATTAAAAATTTAAGACAAAATTATTTTTATTTACTTGTCCTTGTTGGAAGTCATAATCAAGTTTATATTGTATTCGGCCCAGGTTAAGTTCTTCTTTCTGTCCAGCCTGTTCCTTTTCGTTTTGTTCCATATTCGCTCCGAGATTCTCCATATCTGCACCAAACTGAAAAAATTTATTTTTTAAAAATCTTCCATTCCCTCCCTCACTTTATTCGCAACTCCACCACCCAAAATCCCGTCAATTGCATCCATCGGCCCAGTTGCTACTTTCGACCCACCACCAAAAAGTCCTCCAAAACCGCCTAATTTCCCTGTATTTTTATTTTTCTCTCCATGCCTCCGTTTTGCAAAAAGTTTGCGGATAATGCCGTAAACACAACAACAAATTAAAGCCACTCCAAGTAAACCAAAGAAGGCAACTAACCAGCCGGGTTCTGAAAGAAATAAAAATGTGAATAATAATTTCCGGAAACTATAAACTTTCCGGAAACTTTTTAATTAGGTATAAAAACCTTTCCGGAAAGATTATAACACCTATAAAAATAATATGCAAATCAGAATTTATAACTAAAATAACTATAAAAATCAGAATTTTATAATCCGGAAACAATAAACATCAATTGTACTATGTATATTAAATCATATTTATAAAACTTTCCGGAAAAATAGACTTACTCTCATGTAAATTTTTATTGCTGACTTGAGCTCTTACTCGATTAGCTAACATTCCAGTAATCGACTCTTTTCTAAATTAAAAAATTAATTTTTTAAATTTTAAAAATTAATCATTACCCTATTTCTGGCATAACTGTAGAACTACTAATACTATAACTACTAGTGCCTGGACGGTTTGATCTGTCCATTTGTGGTTTTCGAGTTGTGGGTCTTTCCCTTTGCATAGGGATCTGATCGGGCATTTTTTCTTTGTTTAGTTCTTCCTTAAAAATAAATTTATATGTACATTCTTCTTCCTCAATTACTCACCTTCTCTTTCCTTGCTTTACTCCTTTCCTCCTTCTCTTTTTCCTCCTCCTCTTCCTCCTCTACTTCTTCCCTTCTTCTTCCTCCCTTCCCTCTTTCACCTCCCTTCCCTCTACTCTTCCCATTCTTTTCTTCCTTAACTTTCCCCTTCCTCCTCCCTCCCTTCGGCCTTTCCTCCTCCTCTTCTTCCTCTTCAGAAAATTCATCATTCTCTTCCTTCTCTTCTTCCTCCTCATTCTCTTCATTTATTGCTTCTTCTTCTTTGTCTTCATTTCCATATATTTTTCCATTCTCGTCTTGTAATTTTACCATTTTTTAAATAAAAAACTGAAAAAAGGAGGGGGATTGAAAAGAAATAAAAAAAAGATTCAAAAAGAAAAAAAAGAAGAGAAAATTAGCTTATTTATAAAAACAAAAGAAGAAAAGCTTAAAGAATAAAATTAGGCTATAAATAGGAGATAAATACAAATATTAATTTTATTTTCGTAATTAACACATCATGTAAGGATTAAAATTTAGAATATGCGTAAGAAGAATATTATTATCCGGTAGAAAACAAAATTAGAATTTTCCAAACTTTCCGGAAAATATAAAATTTAAAAAAAATAGAAAATCAGAAAAACAAGAATTTGTAGACTTCTCCGGAAAATAAATATAAAATTTCTCCGGGAAACTATTTATAATCCTTACAGACTTTCCGGAAACCCTCCAAACAAAAATTTAAATAAACTTTCCTCACATATTACAGTAATAGGTAAAATTGGAATTTTTTGACTCATTTTAAAGAACATTTTCATACAAAAGGACTTTTGAGATTATTTTTCAAGGCTTTGAGAGTTCTCCTTGTTTTTCTCAATTTTAGTTAGGACTTTGTGAATTCCTTCCGACGCCGCGGGGCATATTTTTATATGGACAAACAAGCAAAGTAAAAAATATTTATATATTTGGGACCGTCTGGTTATGTAAAAGACGTGAGTAAAGAGAGTCTCTATATGAATGCCCCCTCCAATGCTTTTTTACATTTTTTGAGAAGCTTTAGCTAAAAATCGATGCATGAGATGCCAACATGACAAAGAGTAAGTGTGGGGAAATTTTTAAAATGAAAAAAAAGAAAATTTAAATTTTTAAAGGAAGGTGAGAAGTGAAGAAAAAAGAAGAGGGGGGAGGGAGGGAGGGGGGGGGGATTTTGAGAAATTAAAAAAAACTGGAGAAGAAATTCTGGAAATATTTGTTTAATATTTTTGTATATTTTCCGGAAAGTTCACAAAATTCTTTAAAGAATTCTGAAATTATTCATATAACTTCCGGAAACTATAAAATTCTGAAATTATTTGAATGTTTTCCGGGATGGGGATGTTTGTATTATATAATTCTGATATGTATTGTTATTATATGTATTTTCCGGAAAATTTTGTATAATTATTATAGTATAATTTCGATATTATTTAAATGTAAAGCATATAGCTATTTGATTCCTAAGGCTGTCCGTAAGTAGGCAGCGTGGTGTAATGGCTAACACATCAGTCCGACTACTGAAGATGCTGGTTCGCTCCCAGCCGCGATTAACCTTTTGCACTAGCTAAAGGAGAGAGATAGCTATAGCCCAGCTGCTTTACTTAAATTTTCCGAAAATTTTAATGTTGCTTCAGAAAAGTTTAAAATTCTGGTCTTGAAAATAAGTTATGTCATATTTTGGTAAAAACAAAAATAATAAATTAAATAAAAATCGATTTGCAAATCCCATATAAGCTGTTTTGTGTGTTTTTTGCTTCTTTGTTAGCATGCCGCAAGAAAAGAAATGAAGAAATTTGTTTGTCAGTTAAAATGCCAATAAAACGGTAAAAAGGGGGATTTGTAAAAAGAGTGAGTGCCTCTCTCAATAAAAAAATTCCAATATTTGCTAACAGGCCAATTTATCCATTTTTCAAGGATTTTGCTTTTAGTGTCAAAAAGAAAAACGTCAAAGAAATGAAAATATATATTATGGAAAAAGTGGGCGGAAGTTAAGGGAGAAGGGGGGGGGGGGAATAAAAACACAGGTAAAGTCAAAGTTTCCGGAAAACACAAACATCCTTTTAATTCAGAATTTATGGGAATATAAAAACCTTTCCGGAAAGGGTTCCGTGACTTTTGCGCCGAGAACATTTGCGCCGCGACTTATGCGCCGCGACTTTTGCGCCGCGACTTATGCGCCGAGCGACTTTTGCGCCGGGGGACCTTTGCGCCGCGACTTTTGCGTCGGGCGACTTTTGCGCCGCCACTATCATTAAAAATATATCAATAACTACAGCCGGAACTCACTTTAGTAGGGTTGTCGAATAGTTGGAATCTTCGGATCTGATATCCGAATTGAAAATTTCGGATATCCGTCATTTTTCGGATCCGGATTTTCTAAACAATGGCGGCGCAAATGTCGCGGCGCATAAGTCGCCCGGCGCAAAAGTCGCGGCGCATAAGTCGCGGCGCAAATGTTCTCGGCGCAAAAGTCGTGATACCCCGGAAAGAATGTACAAAATCAGAATTAATATGTATAAAACTTTAATAAATTCTGGATTTTTTAGAATCAGAGTTTTAAACATTCCAGGACCTATAAAATAAGAAATCTTTCAGCAATTTACAAAATCAGAATTACCGTATTCTCTCGATTAATTCCCCTCCCTCGAATAATTCCCCATGCCAAGGAAGGGTTGAAAATATAATTCCCCAGAGGAATTAATCGAGAAAATACAGTAATCTGTATAAAATTTTAATAAAACTTTTTCAAAATTTTATAAAATCTAATAAACTTTCCGGTAATTACAAAACTGGAATTAATACTGTTTTAATCGGAACTTTATTTTAATTATTTCCTGAGACTGTACAAATAACAAAAAAATATTTTAAATACAAATTTGGTAAAATAAAATGACATTAAAATAATTATTGACATCCTTTCCCTTCATTATTTTATATATCTCCTCAACCCCCTCCCCCTACTCCCAAAAATAGCTAAAATAATAAATGGGTATAATATTTTCGAAAAGCGGACAAAAATAGAAAAAAATATTTTTAAAATATTTGTAATTTAGTACAACATTCGATAATATTAGACTATTTTTAAAGGAATTGTCTATATAATGAACGGTATCCACCATGAAAATTGTTAAAGTTCAAAAGGACTTGTAGCTTCTTGATCTTTGTAGCTTCTTGATTTTTGTCTGCGGGAAGAAAATGAAGAAAAATCCTTCGTCAGTTAAATTTTATAAAATATTCCAAATTTAAAAATATACTCCCTGCGGCACTAAAATAATTTCATTTTTCGCGTCTCGACAAAAAATTACCTCATTAAATTCTCAATAAAGGTTTTTCGGACGTCTCGGTTCTCGACGAAGTTACAAAGAAAATTATCGAATTGACAAAAAATTTGTGTAGAAAAATACTCCCCCTTTTTTATTTTTTAAATTTTGTTTTCGAGTTATTATATGTAGCAGTTTTCACATGAGTTGATCAAAACATGTCGAGAACAGATGAGAAAAAACAAAATTCTCACTATCCACCAAAAACCAACCTCATAAATATTTAATTACTATAAACATTTCCCCATTCCTTTTTATAAGCTTCACATACTAACTCTCCCAATATTTACACAATCCCTTATTTGTTGACTAATCAAAAACAACGTTGTAAGTAAAGCATGCAATAAACAGCTTTTATATTTTTCTGTTTTCAAAATGTCAACTTTAAAAATAATGTCACCCTGGTGACATTTCGAGTTTTGCTTGAATTAGATATTTAAAAAGTTGACATTTTGAAATTCTTGTTTCATACTTTAATGGCAGCTGGTTTTTAGAGTCACTGCCCTCCATTCATTAACTTTAGTTTTTCACTCTAACCTCAACTTTCCCTTCTATTTATCTTTTCTCTTATTTTCCCCATTACCTTCTCTTTCCTTGCTTTACTCCTTTCCTCCTTCTCTTTTTCCTCCTCCTCTTCCTCCTCTACTTCTTCCCTTCTTCTTCCTCCCTTCCCTCTTTCACCTCCCTTCCCTCTACTCTTCCCATTCTTTTCTTCCTTAACTTTCCCCTTCCTCCTCCCTCCCTTCGGCCTTTCCTCCTCCTCTTCTTCCTCTTCAGAAAATTCATCATTCTCTTCCTTCTCTTCTTCCTCCTCATTCTCTTCATTTATTGCTTCTTCTTCTTTGTCTTCATTTCCATATATTTTTCCATTCTCGTCTTGTAATTTTACCATTTTTTAAATAAAAAACTGAAAAAAGGAGGGGGATTGAAAAGAAATAAAAAAAAGATTCAAAAAGAAAAAAAAGAAGAGAAAATTAGCTTATTTATAAAAACAAAAGAAGAAAAGCTTAAAGAATAAAATTAGGCTATAAATAGGAGATAAATACAAATATTAATTTTATTTTCGTAATTAACACATCATGTAAGGATTAAAATTTAGAATATGCGTAAGAAGAATATTATTATCCGGTAGAAAACAAAATTAGAATTTTCCAAACTTTCCGGAAAATATAAAATTTAAAAAAAATAGAAAATCAGAAAAACAAGAATTTGTAGACTTCTCCGGAAAATAAATATAAAATTTCTCCGGGAAACTATTTATAATCCTTACAGACTTTCCGGAAACCCTCCAAACAAAAATTTAAATAAACTTTCCTCACATATTACAGTAATAGGTAAAATTGGAATTTTTTGACTCATTTTAAAGAACATTTTCATACAAAAGGACTTTTGAGATTATTTTTCAAGGCTTTGAGAGTTCTCCTTGTTTTTCTCAATTTTAGTTAGGACTTTGTGAATTCCTTCCGACGCCGCGGGGCATATTTTTATATGGACAAACAAGCAAAGTAAAAAATATTTATATATTTGGGACCGTCTGGTTATGTAAAAGACGTGAGTAAAGAGAGTCTCTATATGAATGCCCCCTCCAATGCTTTTTTACATTTTTTGAGAAGCTTTAGCTAAAAATCGATGCATGAGATGCCAACATGACAAAGAGTAAGTGTGGGGAAATTTTTAAAATGAAAAAAAGAAAATTTAAATTTTTAAAGGAAGGTGAGAAGTGAAGAAAAAAGAAGAGGGGGGAGGGAGGGAGGGGGGGGGGGATTTTGAGAAATTAAAAAAAACTGGAGAAGAAATTCTGGAAATATTTGTTTAATATTTTTGTATATTTTCCGGAAAGTTCACAAAATTCTTTAAAGAATTCTGAAATTATTCATATAACTTCCGGAAACTATAAAATTCTGAAATTATTTGAATGTTTTCCGGGATGGGGATGTTTGTATTATATAATTCTGATATGTATTGTTATTATATGTATTTTCCGGAAAATTTTGTATAATTATTATAGTATAATTTCGATATTATTTAAATGTAAAGCATATAGCTATTTGATTCCTAAGGCTGTCCGTAAGTAGGCAGCGTGGTGTAATGGCTAACACATCAGTCCGACTACTGAAGATGCTGGTTCGCTCCCAGCCGCGATTAACCTTTTGCACTAGCTAAAGGAGAGAGATAGCTATAGCCCAGCTGCTTTACTTAAATTTTCCGAAAATTTTAATGTTGCTTCAGAAAAGTTTAAAATTCTGGTCTTGAAAATAAGTTATGTCATATTTTGGTAAAAACAAAAATAATAAATTAAATAAAAATCGATTTGCAAATCCCATATAAGCTGTTTTGTGTGTTTTTTGCTTCTTTGTTAGCATGCCGCAAGAAAAGAAATGAAGAAATTTGTTTGTCAGTTAAAATGCCAATAAAACGGTAAAAAGGGGGATTTGTAAAAAGAGTGAGTGCCTCTCTCAATAAAAAAATTCCAATATTTGCTAACAGGCCAATTTATCCATTTTTCAAGGATTTTGCTTTTAGTGTCAAAAAGAAAAACGTCAAAGAAATGAAAATATATATTATGGAAAAAGTGGGCGGAAGTTAAGGGAGAAGGGGGGGGGGGGGGGAATAAAAACACAGGTAAAGTCAAAGTTTCCGGAAAACACAAACATCCTTTTAATTCAGAATTTATGGGAATATAAAAACCTTTCCGGAAAGGGTTCCGTGACTTTTGCGCCGAGAACATTTGCGCCGCGACTTATGCGCCGCGACTTTTGCGCCGCGACTTATGCGCCGAGCGACTTTTGCGCCGGGGGACCTTTGCGCCGCGACTTTTGCGTCGGGCGACTTTTGCGCCGCCACTATCATTAAAAATATATCAATAACTACAGCCGGAACTCACTTTAGTAGGGTTGTCGAATAGTTGGAATCTTCGGATCTGATATCCGAATTGAAAATTTCGGATATCCGTCATTTTTCGGATCCGGATTTTCTAAACAATGGCGGCGCAAATGTCGCGGCGCATAAGTCGCCCGGCGCAAAAGTCGCGGCGCATAAGTCGCGGCGCAAATGTTCTCGGCGCAAAAGTCGTGATACCCCGGAAAGAATGTACAAAATCAGAATTAATATGTATAAAACTTTAATAAATTCTGGATTTTTTAGAATCAGAGTTTTAAACATTCCAGGACCTATAAAATAAGAAATCTTTCAGCAATTTACAAAATCAGAATTACCGTATTCTCTCGATTAATTCCCCTCCCTCGAATAATTCCCCATGCCAAGGAAGGGTTGAAAATATAATTCCCCAGAGGAATTAATCGAGAAAATACAGTAATCTGTATAAAATTTTAATAAAACTTTTTCAAAATTTTATAAAATCTAATAAACTTTCCGGTAATTACAAAACTGGAATTAATACTGTTTTAATCGGAACTTTATTTTAATTATTTCCTGAGACTGTACAAATAACAAAAAAATATTTTAAATACAAATTTGGTAAAATAAAATGACATTAAAATAATTATTGACATCCTTTCCCTTCATTATTTTATATATCTCCTCAACCCCCTCCCCCTACTCCCAAAAATAGCTAAAATAATAAATGGGTATAATATTTTCGAAAAGCGGACAAAAATAGAAAAAAATATTTTTAAAATATTTGTAATTTAGTACAACATTCGATAATATTAGACTATTTTTAAAGGAATTGTCTATATAATGAACGGTATCCACCATGAAAATTGTTAAAGTTCAAAAGGACTTGTAGCTTCTTGATCTTTGTAGCTTCTTGATTTTTGTCTGCGGGAAGAAAATGAAGAAAAATCCTTCGTCAGTTAAATTTTATAAAATATTCCAAATTTAAAAATATACTCCCTGCGGCACTAAAATAATTTCATTTTTCGCGTCTCGACAAAAAATTACCTCATTAAATTCTCAATAAAGGTTTTTCGGACGTCTCGGTTCTCGACGAAGTTACAAAGAAAATTATCGAATTGACAAAAAATTTGTGTAGAAAAATACTCCCCCTTTTTTATTTTTTAAATTTTGTTTTCGAGTTATTATATGTAGCAGTTTTCACATGAGTTGATCAAAACATGTCGAGAACAGATGAGAAAAAACAAAATTCTCACTATCCACCAAAAACCAACCTCATAAATATTTAATTACTATAAACATTTCCCCATTCCTTTTTATAAGCTTCACATACTAACTCTCCCAATATTTACACAATCCCTTATTTGTTGACTAATCAAAAACAACGTTGTAAGTAAAGCATGCAATAAACAGCTTTTATATTTTTCTGTTTTCAAAATGTCAACTTTAAAAATAATGTCACCCTGGTGACATTTCGAGTTTTGCTTGAATTAGATATTTAAAAAGTTGACATTTTGAAATTCTTGTTTCATACTTTAATGGCAGCTGGTTTTTAGAGTCACTGCCCTCCATTCATTAACTTTAGTTTTTCACTCTAACCTCAACTTTCCCTTCTATTTATCTTTTCTCTTATTTTCCCCATTATCTCTAGTTTCTGCATAGCGGAACATTTATTTATTTTCTATACAAGACAACAATTTTTATTTTATTTTTCTGGCGTGACGCTCGACTCATTCCTTTTAGTTTTGCTTCGATTCGACCCTACCACACGCGTCAGCATTATAATTATTATAGTAATAGTATCACACACAAACATTAACACCCCAAGTATTTGGACTTTTTTTGGTGGAAGTTTCCTTTACACGTTTTTAACTGTTAAAACTTGCAAAAAATGCCGTAACTTGATAACTCTACAACTTTTGAACGGATAAGTCCTTTTCTGTGAATTATATATCATTGGATAGAGCAGAATCTTGGCTACAAAATGTGTATAATGTTACAATTTTTTGGTTAAAAAATAAAATAGTTGAGGTCAAAAAACTCAAAAAATCATCAAAACTTTCCCCAAAAACATTAGTTTTTTGGTCTCAACTTTTTCTCTATTTAATCAAAAAAACTTCTTTTAAATTCCATTTTATAGCCAAATCCATGCTCTATCAAATCATTTAAAGTTTTGTTGAAATTTAAACATTCGATCAAATGTTAGTTGAGTAAACGTTCAGTTACTCAATTGACCCCTCATTTTATTAAACGATTTTTAATTAATTTTTTTTTAATTTTCAGACTTGTCAAACAAAAAAATCCCAAAATCTTTAAAAAAACAAATAAAAACAAAAATTGGCATTTCGGGTTTATTAATTCAAAACAACAAAAACAAACAGCATTTGAAGTAATTGGTGTAAGGCAGTATTTTTTAAGTAGTTTATTTACTTTATATTCGCCAATTAAGGCAGAATTCAACGAAACGTTTTTGTTATTAAAGAGCAACGAGGAAGAACAATAAAATTGAGAAAATGGCTACAATGGTAATTTTATTTTTGGGTGGGGATTTACTTGTCTTAGACTCCATCATCTGATTAGAACATCAGGGAGACGACCGATTGGGGGAACTGTTGTTTATCCGCTTAACTGTGTCCGCAATTATTGGATTTTGTCTATGAAATCGAATGGTGTCTAATCTTCAGTGTTTGGCTGATTCATGACCTTGGTCCCACTTTGAGACATTTAGTCCCACCTCGGATATTTGATTCATTTTTATTTTTCATTTTTTAAATTTAGTCTTGGTTCACTCAAACAATAAACTCTTTTACTATTTATATTTTTCTTAAACATTCACTCACTTACAGAACAACAACCAAACCCAACAACAACGTTCATTCGGAGGAAATGGTGCTGCATTCAACAGAGGAAATGGTGGAGGAGGTTCCCGCAACGGTCCAAGTCCAAATAGTTCTTATCGAAAAAATAACCGAATTGATGATCAACAACAACAAATGACTACAAACAACGCGACATTTGGTCCCTACAACAATTCCAATAATCAACAGCAACATTCGGCTGCTTCAACAAGTGGAGGTCCTTCATCTCGTCCTTATCAATCACAACAGCAAAACAATAACGGCCATCATCAACGTCCACCGCCATCATTTCGTTCAGTCAGTAGAAGTGAAGGAGGGGGTGGAGGAGGTCAACAGCAACAACAACGTGGAAGAGTACAGACAGATGTTTGGAGAAAAGGAGGAGGAAATTCTTCAAATTTCGGTGGTAATTATTCAAGAGATGAAGATATTAGACCGAGAGGTGGTAGTAGTGGAGGATTTTATAATCAACGTAGAAATACTAATGACAATCGTTGGATTAGAAGAAATCATCCTAATGCTCCGCCGCCTTTGACTTTGGAACAGAGAAGGACGAGAGGACCTTTGCCTGATTGGGATGAGGTTTGTAAAAAATTTTTTTGAATTTTAAAAAATTTTTGGACCCTTTATATTTCATAGTTACCGGCAAAGCGTGCTTATATAATCCGCATGCGGGATTTTTTCTAAAAAATTTTACGAAACGTGACGTAAAATTCCGCACAGAATTCCATCCAGCGCTGTTTACTAATTTTTCAACAATATAATTTCAAAATGTCCAAATCTCAAAACGTCCAATTTTTCGAATTTTGGTTTTTAGAATTATCAAAATTATTAGACAGAAAGTGCAAAATAAGCAAGAACGCAAAATTTGATTTATAAGGAATTGAAGGTCGTTAATAAGAGAAAATAAAGGAGAGAGAAAAAGAAAAGGCTCGTTTCTTTTACCCTATTGGAATGATAACTTTCCATTGCTTCTTGTTTTTGATCTCGCGTTTTTTTTTGCTTTCTCTCTAAATTAAAAATAATTTATTGTTAATTTATGAACTTTTAATTTTACAAAAAAAAAAGAAAATATTTAATTGGAAAATATCTGCATGAGGGGTTTTAAATAAGAGAAAAACCAAGCCGGGGGGAATGGATTTTAAAGGCATTTTTTGTTTATGGCTTGGGCTTTAAATAAAATGATGGCTTTTGGAAGATTTGGAGAACTGCCGGATCTGACAAAGGCCCCCATTCTTTATTAAATGTCTTTCTTTTACATCTTTTTTTTTTAATTAAAAAACATTTTAAAGGTTCAAGAAGCTGGTGCTGAAGAAAGTTTTGATTATATGGATTTAATGGAGACTCAATATTCGCAATATTATGCCCTCACAGCTGTTCCACCATTTGACCCTTCTTTGGGACAAATAATTGCTACAGCAAATACTGGAGACCCTACTGGAGCTGCTACTGCTGCAATGTTCCCAACTGTTTATCAAACTGCTGCCTTATTACAACCTAATTATCTTCAAAATTTGCAGAGTCGTATTGCTTTGGCTGCAGCGTTAGTTTTTTTATTTTTCAAAAATTTTTTATTGAGAGTTTTCTCCGAAATTATTTTTTGCAAATTTTTTTCCAAATTGTTTGTTGACTTATCTTTAATATTTATAGTTTTCGTCCTGGGTTTATGGCACAACCACAACAAGCTTCTCTTGTTACTTTGCAACCAGCACCTCAACAGGCAACAATAACTCAAATAAATCAGCAACAACAAACTTCTCCTGAACTTATTGCTCATTCTGGTGGACCTTATGTAAATTATGGGTCTTCTACTCCTATGCAACAGCAACAAATTAATGTATATTCGTTTAAATTTTATTGGGGGAGGGGAATGATGTCATTCCTTCCAGGTATATGGGGTTTTAACATTTTTTCGGGTCAAAAAAGATCTGGATTTCGAGTACTTATCCTTGCTTTATACTCTTTTCATTTTCAGCCAATATCATCACCGGTTACTCTTGTCACTACAACAGATCAAATTCCCGTTACTGCGGTAGCTTCTTCAGCCACTTCTTTTGTTGTTCCAGCCCAACCAGCTACTATTATTGCTGCTGCTCCAGTCACCCAATTTTCTCCTCAAAATGCAATTTTTACAGCTCCAGCAGTTTTGCCTTATATTCCAATTGTTGATGAATTTAAACTCAGGGAGTTGCTTCGTACTCAAATGTAAGAAAGATTTGTTTTGGGTTTTTATAAAATTATTTTAATTGGGATTATCACAAACAGGGCTGCATGCAATTGTTTTTATGTAAAACATTTTTCTCGATTGTTTGCTGTCCGGTCACAAAACTTTCGAGAGCTAATAAACTTACGAGTTCGTTTCTTATTTACAAATCAAAAATTCCATTTTTCTGACACTTTGGTTCTCGTTCCGCTTTTCAAAATCTGGGCGGGCCGCTTTAAGGTTTTGAATTTATTTTCTTTTATCCGCAAGTTTATGTCCAAAAAAATTTAAAAACTAATCATTTTTAGTGAATATTATTTCTCTTCTGATAATCTTCAAAAAGATTTCTTTTTACGCCGTAAAATGGATGCAGAAGGTTTTTTGCCATTAGAATTAATTGCTAGTTTTCCACGTGTTCGTTCACTTACATATGATCAATCTTTTATTGTAAAGTGTTTACGTGGAAGTTTAAAAGTTGAATTGAGCGTGGATGAATTGAAGGTTTGTTTATTTTTTATTTTAATCGATGATATTTTGGAACCATTTAATTAATGTGTCGTGTTGTTTTAAAATCTAGTTTATGGTTTTAAAATATAGGAGACCTCGGGGGCCGAATATCAGAATCTAGGTCTAATTTCTCATTAGGTCTAATTTGTCATCACAAAGACTTATTATCTTTCCATGCATCTTTGCAATATTTTTATTTTAAAGATTCGTCCTCGTGCAAATCCTCACCAATGGCCATTGTTTGAATCTGGAGCACAATCTGGAACGGAAGCATCGCCTGGTGGAGATTATGATAAACGTCCAGAATCTTTTGATAATGAAATGCAAAAGGTTGAAAATTTAATTTTGGAAGAAGAAAATAATGCTATAAGAATGGAAAAGGAACAAGAAATGGAAGAACAGGCTAAAGTTGATGAGAAAGAAAGGAAGGATGCTGCTCTTCTTCAAGTAAATGAGAAGAAAAATGAAGAAAAAATAAAAGGGGAAGAAGAAGAAAATTTAAAAACTTGTAAATCTTTTGATAATGAAGAAATGAAAGGTAATAAAAAGAAAATTGATATTGTGGAAAAGCCTGTTAAGGAAGAAGATGTGAAAATTGGTGGTGGAAATGTGAAGGGAGGAATTGAGAAGGAGGGTATTGAAAAGAAGGATGGGGATACAACTGAAGCAAAGAGGTTTGTTGATTTAAATAAAGACATTAAAATGTAAAACAATTTTTCCTTATTTGTTATCCTCTCACTTGTGATCCCGTATCCTTAAAATTGATTTTTTACTAGGGCTGTGGTTATTGGAGAATCTTCAGGCATCCGGAATTAGGAGATAAGCCGAAGATTCCTCGGTTATTTGGTTCGCTTCCGTTTTTATTCTTTTTTAGTTTTTAAATGAAAAAGTAAAAACTTTTTTGATGTTTTGACTCCATTGATTTTTCATCTATGGAGTCGTGTCTTTTTTATTGCCATTCTCTTAAAATTATTAACCATATATCTTTAACTTTTGAATTAAAATATTTTTCTTTATTTTTTTCTAGTTGTGTCAAACAACAACCACAATTAACAGATTCTATTAAAACTTCTAGTCATTTACCACCAAATTCTGATAAAAATATTAATTTAACCAAAGAAGAAAAAGTTTTGTCAGAAAAAGAAAATTTAGAAAAGGGAACGGAATTTGAAGAAGACGAGGAAGAAGAAAAATCAAAAGATGGAGATGGGGAAGATGAATCAGAAAGAAATGAGGGGGATGATGATTGGATGGAAGTTAAAACAAAAAGAAATAAAAGAAAAAATCGTCCAACAAATTTAAATGGAGGAGGAGGATGTGGAGGGAGACAACAACAACAAACAAATAATAATTTGGGAACAAATTCTGAACAATTGGATTTTAAATTTGATTCAGAATTGGATAATGGTGGAGTAAAAGAAGTTGAAAAAGAAGTAGATGATTTGGATGATAATTTGTGTAATAAACTTATAATTGTTACTCAAACACCTCCACAATATAAAAGAAAAATGTCTAATAAAGAAATTGAACATATTTTGAAGAAAGTTGAAGAGGATCTGTGGGCTAATAAAGCTAAAAATGTTTGTTTTTTTATTTTTTTGTTGTCAATCGACCTCCATTCTTTTGGGGTTTATTGAGGACTTTTTGTTTACGTTATATTTTTTGGTACTGATTGTGAGACTTGGGCTGGTGGATCCTGAGAAATTTTTGTGGGTTCGGGACCGATATCTGAACCGAAAAATTCTTGGATATCTGAACTGTTCGACAATCTTAAAAATACAAGCATAACAAACTAAAAAAGGGAAACGATTGGTTGAAAACAATTGGTCACACTTGTAAAAAATTTGATAAATTAATTATTTTAAGGATGCAATTAGCAATAAGCATAATGAGCAGAATGAGAAAAAGGAGATTATTAAAAATCCTAATGCAAATGTTTGGGTAAAAAAGGCAACTGAAAGAATGGCTGCTAGTGCTTCTGTTGTATGATTATTTTTTAATTTTTAAAATTTTTTTAATAAATTTCAGCCTAAAAGTCCTCTCGCTGGAAGGCCTAATGCTGATAGAATTTCACGTTTTTATCCGGTAATTGGTGGAAAAGTTTGAAAAAAAAATTTTTTTAATTAATTTTTATTAATAAAAATGTTTCAATTTTTAGGGCATTTCTGTTGGTTGGGTACTTGGTGTTCGATCTCGAACAACTTCAAGAAGGTTTGCTTTTTTGTGAATTTAAGATTTATTTCTACTTTTAAATTTTTGTAGTGATGAAAATGCAGCAGATATAAAGGAAAATACTGGAATACCAGCATCTGCTTCTAATTTTTTGATGGTTCATCCATCTGTTTCTTTATTACAAGAGAATGGATTTGAACAGCAGGTTTGGTTTTTTTGTTTTTATATTTGTGTAGTTGATTAATTAATGGGAATAGTTTATAAATTAGTTTCCTCTCGTTTATATTTTTTAACGAAAAGAGTTTTTTAGAACTCTTGGCTATGGAATTACATTTTAGTAATCAAATGGAAATCTGTCAGATGACAGATCTGTCATCTGTCATGTTGCTTTTTTCTCATCCATAAAATCTAGCCCCATGTTTATTACTTTAGTATTGCAATTTTGCGACTGCCATAAAGGCTATCCACAATTCGAATTAGGGTTGAGGATTTTTTAAATTGTACTTTTTTTGTAGCTTTCATTCCTCTAGGGTCAAGACGATATTATATCGGTTGTCTATTCTACTTTGTTATAATTATGATTTAATTATTTACCTCAATTACTAGAATATATAACCTCAATTACTATATAACCCTTTTAGCTACCATATAATTAACATCATTTTCCTTCTTTTACAGATTTATAGTGCTTGGAGAAGTCAATGTAAAAAACAAAGAGAAGCCTTAGGTTATGATAATCCTGAGGTTTTATTTTAAATTTAAATAAATTTTTTTAACTCTTTTAAAAGATGCAAACTCTTTATCGTTTCTGGACACACTTTTTACGTGAAAATTTTAATTGTTCAATGTATAATGAATTTCGTAAATTTGCTTTGGATGATGCGGAACATGGGTAAATTTAAAAATAAATTTTTAATGATAGAGTTTGGTTGGTTGTGAGATATATTTCCTCAAATTCTTGAGATGTACTACTATTACAGGCTTTCCATGCTCTACCGACTTAACTACTAGGGGCAATGACTTTCATTATGACTGAACCCCTCCTAAAGTGTTTTAACTGAAAGACATAGAATCTTCCCCTCTCTTATAATATTTTTCAAATGATTTAAATTTTTAAAAATTTTTCAGGATTCGCTATGGAATAGATGCTTTATTCCGTTTTTATAGTTATGGACTGGAAAAAAAGATGCGTCCACAACTTTATAATGATTTTCAGGACGTTACTCTACAAGATATTAAATTGGGTAGAACTGTTGGTCTTCAAAAATTTTTGCATTTTATTAAACGTTTGTGAAATGTTATTTGAATTTTTTAAACAAGACATTTTTTGTAGACTGCAAATACAGCAATCAGTTGGCTATTAATCCTATAATTGCAAGGGAATTGGCTAAATTGCGAAATGATGATCTTTATATAACTGAGGTAAAATAAATCGATACTTCTTTAATAGGATACAATATTTGGGGTTTGAATAGATTTTTTGAATTTTAAGTACCGCTAAGGAAATTCCCTTCACCAAGTGCTCTACTTAATATTTAGAAAGATGAAATTTAAATTATTAACTCTTGATTACGTCTGAATACCAATATAAAAACTTGACTAACAGTATATGCTTTATCGCAAAAGCTATACAATATTGCAGAATAGGCTAACCAATGTTTGAATAAAAGGTGCACTAACACTTGGAAATGTTGCCCTTTTATTTATTAAACTTACCACCCCAACATTGTATCTTATAATGAGATCCGACTTTATTTAACATTTTTTAATTTTCTTTTTCAGCCTGCCCGTGCAGCAAAACGCGAACTTTTTGCAGAAACAAATAAAGGTGCTATGAGAAGAGGTGGAGGCGGGGATGGAGGTGGGGGAGGAGGAGGTTCAATATCCTCTTTACCAGGAAAGTAGGAAATAAATTTAATTTTTTTTAATTATTTAATTATTCGGCAATTGTTTTTTGCCTTTTTTTATATTTTTTTCGTTGATTTGAGAAAACTGCGCTATTATATATTTTATGCTCCAAAAATTTTTTTATTAAAAAATCTATATTTATGTTTATGTCCAGATCCCGGCGATCACCCAAAAAAATTTTTTGTTATTGTTTTTTCTGATTTTATTTTTTAATTTAAGAGAAGGAAGGAGGGGATTTAATGGGGATTAATTTTTATATAAAATTTTAAAAATCTGTAATTTTTATCAGTAAGTTTTGTAACTATATTTCCATTGTTTAAGCGAGGCTTAGAATAATTTTATAGAATAATTTTAAAATTTTTGGGGTTTTTAAGCCTAATCCTTTTTGAAAATTAATTTCAAAAATTTATGCCGCAGAGAAATTTTAATATCAAAAACACAAAAATTCAAGAAGTTGTTTTATAATTTTAAGAAAAACTTTTTAACGGCCATTGGTCAAATCTCCTACCTTTTTCTGTTAGTTCGGAAACTACCGAAGAATCGAGTATTTTTTTGGTTCGATTCCAGATATATAATTTATAAAGTTCAGTATATCCACAAATATCCCTTCAAATATTTCAACCCCGCTCCTCCTTCTCTTAAAAACAATTAAATATTCAACATTTGTTTTAATCTTCTCTCTAGGGCTGTCCTCACTTGAAAACGAAGCCGAAATCCGTAATTGATTCTAAAAATCCGCAAAAAGCACAGCCCTCTTTTTCCTTTACAATATTGTTTTCCTTCGTAAATCTGATAATTTTTATTAAAAAAACAAACAAAAATTACTCTCTGTATCATTTTATTATTATTATAATATCCACACACACACATCTAAAATATATAATTTTATCTCTTCTCTTTTTAGAGTTGAGTTAATAATTATTATTTTAATTTTTTTGTTATTCGTCTTTCTCGTCTCGAAAAATTTTTTAAATTAATTGGAAGCGCACTAATACCAAAAAACCCCCCAGAATAATACAAACATATATACAACCTAGTTATGTTTCAAACACGTGGAAAGTTGTTTAAATAAATGTGAAAGCTTGCCTCATAAACGTGTAAGATTGTTAAAAATCACATTTTGGTATTTCGTCATGTCTTTTGAGGGGTTTGGTATTTCCGTGTTTGGTATTACTCATTCTACCGATTAATTTACAAAAATTTTTTTCCAAATTTATGCTTATTATAGTTTATTTTTTGTTGTTAAACATTTTTAGAGTTAAAAATGCTTTTTTTTTAATATTCAATTTATATTTTATTTTTTTAACGGATAAAAATGAGAGAATGTTTATATTTTGTTTTTAAAAAATTACAAAAAAAAATTGCTGGAGAGGACACAGGATGTTCGGTTTAGGGATTGGCTCTCTTCCGTCTTCCGCAGATTCCATCTAAATGACTCTTCTGCTTCCACATTTCCCTGTTTATATATATTATCGAATATCTTGGAAAATCTCCATCTCGATAACCGGGATTTCTGATCGAGATTTTGTCTCGGTCCGGGCTCTATTATGTAGATTCTTCACTATTACCAGTTAGTGACATTTTTCCTTATCTCCCTTTTGTCACCTAATGATATTTTTACAAAATTTTTGCAGGATTTTGCAATCTTCGTGTTATTTGTCCCAAAAACATAAAATACCTACATATGTATTAAAATATTCAAATGAAAACCCCCTACATTTTTTACAAGCAGAAACCGTCTTTTGTGAGTTTATACAACATGCCAAGTTTGTAAAAAATATGCATTTGCATAAATGCATCATATCTCTAGTAATTATTCAAATAAAAAAAAAAACTGCGCTATTATATATTTTATGCTCCAAAAATTTTTTTATTAAAAAATCTATATTTATGTTTATGTCCAGATCCCGGCGATCACCCAAAAAAATTTTTTGTTATTGTTTTTTCTGATTTTATTTTTTAATTTAAGAGAAGGAAGGAGGGGATTTAATGGGGATTAATTTTTATATAAAATTTTAAAAATCTGTAATTTTTATCAGTAAGTTTTGTAACTATATTTCCATTGTTTAAGCGAGGCTTAGAATAATTTTATAGAATAATTTTAAAATTTTTGGGGTTTTTAAGCCTAATCCTTTTTGAAAATTAATTTCAAAAATTTATGCCGCAGAGAAATTTTAATATCAAAAACACAAAAATTCAAGAAGTTGTTTTATAATTTTAAGAAAAACTTTTTAACGGCCATTGGTCAAATCTCCTACCTTTTTCTGTTAGTTCGGAAACTACCGAAGAATCGAGTATTTTTTTGGTTCGATTCCAGATATATAATTTATAAAGTTCAGTATATCCACAAATATCCCTTCAAATATTTCAACCCCGCTCCTCCTTCTCTTAAAAACAATTAAATATTCAACATTTGTTTTAATCTTCTCTCTAGGGCTGTCCTCACTTGAAAACGAAGCCGAAATCCGTAATTGATTCTAAAAATCCGCAAAAAGCACAGCCCTCTTTTTCCTTTACAATATTGTTTTCCTTCGTAAATCTGATAATTTTTATTAAAAAAACAAACAAAAATTACTCTCTGTATCATTTTATTATTATTATAATATCCACACACACACATCTAAAATATATAATTTTATCTCTTCTCTTTTTAGAGTTGAGTTAATAATTATTATTTTAATTTTTTTGTTATTCGTCTTTCTCGTCTCGAAAAATTTTTTAAATTAATTGGAAGCGCACTAATACCAAAAAACCCCCCAGAATAATACAAACATATATACAACCTAGTTATGTTTCAAACACGTGGAAAGTTGTTTAAATAAATGTGAAAGCTTGCCTCATAAACGTGTAAGATTGTTAAAAATCACATTTTGGTATTTCGTCATGTCTTTTGAGGGGTTTGGTATTTCCGTGTTTGGTATTACTCATTCTACCGATTAATTTACAAAAATTTTTTTCCAAATTTATGCTTATTATAGTTTATTTTTTGTTGTTAAACATTTTTAGAGTTAAAAATGCTTTTTTTTTAATATTCAATTTATATTTTATTTTTTTAACGGATAAAAATGAGAGAATGTTTATATTTTGTTTTTAAAAAATTACAAAAAAAAATTGCTGGAGAGGACACAGGATGTTCGGTTTAGGGATTGGCTCTCTTCCGTCTTCCGCAGATTCCATCTAAATGACTCTTCTGCTTCCACATTTCCCTGTTTATATATATTATCGAATATCTTGGAAAATCTCCATCTCGATAACCGGGATTTCTGATCGAGATTTTGTCTCGGTCCGGGCTCTATTATGTAGATTCTTCACTATTACCAGTTAGTGACATTTTTCCTTATCTCCCTTTTGTCACCTAATGATATTTTTACAAAATTTTTGCAGGATTTTGCAATCTTCGTGTTATTTGTCCCAAAAACATAAAATACCTACATATGTATTAAAATATTCAAATGAAAACCCCCTACATTTTTTACAAGCAGAAACCGTCTTTTGTGAGTTTATACAACATGCCAAGTTTGTAAAAAATATGCATTTGCATAAATGCATCATATCTCTAGTAATTATTCAAATAAATTATTTATACAACATAAAATACAAATAAAAATTAACAAAAGGCAATAATATATAATACAATCTCATACAATTTAAAATACAATACAAATAATCACAACAAAACAAAATTACATCATTCCAGGTCCTTTAATTTCAAAGTGAAACGGTTCTTTAGAGCCAAGATGGAAGCACACATACAATATTCCGCTGTCTCTTGGATCATCTACTCCATCCAATTTATACTCAACAACTTTGCAATATTCAGTAGATTCTAGAAAATCTTGAAAATTTCGTTTCTCTTCTTTGATCATTTCGCCACGCATATTCCAGTCAGGATATTGGTAATAAAAGCCTTTACATCCATGAATAACCACATGATGGTACATAAATTCATATGCTTTAGGAAAATATTCACCATCTTCATCATAGAGATAGAAACAGTTTGTGTGGAATTTCAACGGAGAATCGCCAAAAAATAATTGAAGAATTTCCGGATTGATATATCCTTGCTCGATTTTGAAGTTTTCAATGAAGCAATTTGAAAGTTTCTCCAACCAGTAACGAAATACAAGCATTTCTTCAATTGTTTCCGGGTATTGATGTAGTTTTAGTCGAAGAAATTTAGGCGATGTTCCTCCTAAAAATTAAAAGAAAAAATTTTAAAAAGTCGAGAGAAGCTTCAAAAACTCACCAGATTCTTTCGGTACCAAAAATAAATAGGCAAATTCATTCATCTTGTAATCATCAAGCGCCACATCAAATTTTTTCCGAGGAGAGTAGCTGGTGTAGTAGAAGTAAAAGGGAATCCGTTCTTGAATTGCTGCTTTCCACTGAAAAAGAAAATTATCAAAAAATTTAAGGGAACATTCAATTTACCTTCAATTTTGTTTCTTCACTTAGCTCCAAGTCCAATTCATTAGGGCCACCATACTCCACCAAGTCTTTGCAAACATCTGTAAAAACATTCATTTTTATTAACTAATAATCAGAAAAAACCTACAATTTTTCCAAACAATCAACTCAACAGAATAAAACACTTTTCTTGTAGCCAATTCTTCGTTGTAGTTGACGATCACTTCAGAAAAACGGCGATTTGACAGTTGGCAGTTGTTTAATTGGTTGAAGTCGAGGCATTTAAGGATATCAAGGTTTGTCTCGGCTGGTAGAAGGTTCATTGTTGTTTGTGGAGACGAAGAGTAAGAGACGAGAATCATAAAACTTTAGCCTTTTATACTATATTTTTATAAGCTTGTTTATTTTTCCTGATTCCTTGGGGGGTTTTTTGGGGGTTCTTTTAATTGTTATTTTTAATTATTCGATTTAACTGTTGTACATCGAATAAACCTTATTGAAAAACCTTTTTTAATTCTGTTTTGAAAAGAACATTAAATTTATAATTGCGCATGAAAACAGCTAAATAATACAAGAACTTGCCCAACTTTTGAGGAAAAGAAGAAACTTGACATTCTTAAAAGTTGAGTTTTGATTTATTTTTTGTAAAGAAAATTTTTAAGTGTGTGAATTTGGTAATTTGTCAAAATTTTGAAAAATTTTTTGAGGAAACATTTTCTGAATTTCCATAAAAATTATTAAAACTGGTTTTTATCTTGAAATTATAAATAGAGAGAGGAAGGGGCTCCGGCTTATGCCGGCTATGATATGTACGATGCCCCTTACCCATTACTGATGTTAATTTCATCGAGAATTTCTAAATATTATAAACTTCAAAAATAATCTCTAATGATTAAAGTCACAAAATTTAAATTTTTCACATACATTTTTCTTAATTTTTCTCCAAAAATTCTTAAACTGGAAAGTCGAAGTTGACTAAGTTGGTTTGTTTTTTTACTCATTAATTTTTGCTTAAATTTCCAAATATTTTTCTTTACTATTTAAAATTTCAGTAGAAAAATTAATTTATGTAGTATATATGGAAATCACACCCGAGACCAAGCTAATACAATTAGCACCGAAACCTAACAAAAAATTTCAAAGTTGAAAAGCTCTGGTATAAAAGCACCCCATAATCTTTGCCGCAACGCAAAACAACTTTCAACCTTCAACAACTACAACAACATCAAGTTATCTTCATCTTTTCAAGTGTCAAAAGGATGGCCTCAACATCGGCTCTTCAGTTCTCGCGTGTTCTTCTTCTGCTTACTTTCGCTTTGTTGCTACTCCAATGCGTGGTCAAGTGCGTAGATGTTGGAAATGGACATAGTTTGAAAGGAAGCGAAGTCGAGGTGCTGAAGTTGGAGGCTAAGTCTTTATGTGATTTTGACACGGATCAAAAGGGGGACATGTGAGTTTATTTGGGGGTTTTGAATTTTAAAACAAAATTTTGTTTTTAACAGAATGATCAAGTACAAAAAGGGCTCCACTTCTTCCACTTCTGGATGTGTATTGGATCTTCTCACAAAGTTTCCCCTTAAAGATGGAAAGCTTGTGATGGAAGTTGGTGTCACAAACAACGATGGTAGTTTAGACAAATGCTTGTCGGATGCTGGTATCAAAGACGCGATAGATGTGGAACGAGAATATGTTGGGGATGACAATATGTAATGGAGTTTTCTTTCTAAACTAAAAAAGTTTTCCTTTTTGTTTAGGTTACCGTTCTCGTTCAGTCTGAAGGGTAAAGAAGAGGCTGGAGCTGAAAGGACTGACGAGACCGACTACTGTAAAGATCACGGTAAATGTGTCGAATCTAAAAGACAAGGAAAGTGCCTAAAGAAGACCGAATACGCTGTTGCTTTTGGACTCAGGGGCAAAGCCATAATGAACTTTGTCGAGCCTCGTGAGTTTTCTTTTGTGTTTTGTTTTTAACCAAAAAATTTTTTACAGTTGGTGAGCCGCGTATGTGGTACTGTGCACGGCAAGCGGAGGCGTCAGTCCCTAAGAGTGCAAACTTCCAAATCGAGCTTCCTCTTGACAACCAGAATTGGACGACCAAAAAGACTGGATGTGGGAGCGACCTGTCTTTCAATGGAGACCCGAAAGGAATTTGTTTGTCGGAAAAAAGTTTTCGCAAGCCTGAGTTTTGGGAGATTAAGGATCCGACATTCGCTGATAAAGAATACACCCGTCTCTTCGCTCTGCATATTCTCCCACAATCAAAGGTACATAAACACAAAGGGGGACCGCAAAAAATCCTATGGGGCGAGAATTTGGACGGGAAGGAGACTCCAAAATGCGAGATGTATATTAAACTTGTGAGTTTGATTTTGTTTATTTTGTAACTATTTGGTAATTAAATTTAGGACAAAAATAAGTTCAAATTGCTTCGTGATGCTCCTCGTACTACTACAACACCTGACACCCCTCCAGCTACTGAAACTACTAAAAATACTCCAACATCAACTGTGACTGTCCCAACTAAAGCAGCTTCCGGTGGAAAAGGGGTAATCATTGCTGTTGTTGTTGTTTGCCTTTTGATATTGTGAGTTTGTTTTCTTAAAAGAATAGAATATACAAAATTAATTTATTTGAAGGCTTTCTGTTGTTGGTGGCATCATTTTCTTCGTTCTTCGCGGCAAGAAAGAAGAGGAGGAGGTTATGCCGGGAGGAGCGACTGGCTATTTTGGGACTGCGGCAAAGACGAAGACGGTGGCCGGGACTACTACCGTTGGGGCAACACAAGCAAAGTCTGGAATGACAATGACCGCTGGAGGAACAAAGACTGGAGCGACTTCTTATGGGGGAGCAACAACAACCAAAGGAGGGGCGACGTCTAAGGCTGGTGGAACAACAACTAAAGGAGCTGCGACATTCAAAACAGGAGGAGCAACCACGAAGAAGTGAAGAAAATTAAAAAGAAGAAAGTAAAAATGTGTTGTTAATAAAGATGCGAGATAATGTGATTAGAATAAATAGCTCTAGTATATTCCCCCTATATGTATTCTTTATGTTTCTCTCTATATAATAGGTTCATGTAATGTAGTTAATACCATAAATATGTATGTATTTAAAAAATTTATTTTGGCCTTCCAAAAGTAGAAAGTATTGTTAATATTCTTTGGAAAATTTTATTCTGGCTTTCGAAAAATTTTTCCATTGACGCTAAAAAATAAAAGAAATTTCTTTTTGTTTTAATAAACAGGAATTGTGTTTTGTATTCAAACCGCAAATATCGGCTAATGAAAATTACCTTATTACCCTGGAGACGGTAATTAATCGACGATAACCAAAATTATTTATTTTCTCGCCTTAAAGAAAATTATTCTGCAGTTTTTAACGTTTTACAAAAATTTTCAATTAAAATTTGCACTTATCATTTTAATTAAAAATACAATTTAGAAATGACAAAAAATTTTTTTTATTTTATACTTTGATCCCTTTAATTAAATTTACGATTGTTTTTTAATTATATTTTTAGCGAAGCAATTTTTGTTTGTGTGTGTTGATTTTTGTGTAAAAACATTTTTTTGCTTTTTTATTACAAAAAAGGGAGGAAAGTTCATTGTTCCCTTTCCCATTCCAAACATTTTTTCTCTATTTTTCTAATTTTGCCTTAGTCATCTTAATTAATTTTGAAATGTTTAGCTAGAGCATCCGCTCATCAACCCATCAAAAACATGTTTTGCTAATGAAAAAGTTCAAATATCACTATAAAAGTGTTCAAAACGGTCGGCAAGAGCATTTTTTACAGATGAAACAATTAATTTTCCCACGCGGATTTGAACTCACAACTCCAAATTTTCACGTTTTTATGCTAATGTAGCTCATTTAAAAGAACTCGTAGAGTTGATGTGAGTATAAAACAACAAAATCAGCTTTATTGATGATTCTTAACGAAGTTAAAACCAACTGACCCAATCGAACCCACAACCCCACCAAAGGGGACTTTTTTTATTTTTGTTGACATTTTGAAATTTGGCATTTTAATTTTTTATCTTTTAAATTCCGCAAATTTTATCTGCAATTTTTTTCTTTAAACAAAATTTCATCACAAACAGTTTGATATTGCCAAAATTCTTGTCAATGCAGGGACGTTTGTTTTAGTTTAAAATGTTTTGCCATTAAAGTAGTAGTAATGGAACCCCCCCAGTCGGCAACAAACGCCCAAGTCGGCAACATAATGCCAAAACCCCAGACTCAAATTCCCATTTTTTCTTTCACCTTTTTCCTTTTCCTTTTATTCGATAGTTATGTTTTCTCTGCTTGTAAAAGTGGAGAAGACATACACACCTTTTATTGATTTAGGTGTGGTTGCATCCTTTTTGCTTCCTTTCGGATGCAACCACACCTTACTAAAGGGATGTAGCCACACCTTACTATAAAAAAGGTTTCTTTTTTAAGCATTATTTTTTATTGACAAAATTTTTCTACAAAATTTTCTAATTATTAATTTTACGTTGTATTTTTGTTAAGTATTATGAATCATTCAAATTTAACTTCATCTAAAGTAGACCGCCACCAACAAAAAAGAATTATTTACAGAGGGCAAAATCGGTCAGGAAAACATTTTGAGACTTCTTCAACATCAAATACTTCACCAACAACTACCACAAACATTCAGACAAGATCTGCTGAACTTAGTGATTTACCCGGGTATTTTGATGGATATTTTAATTATAAAGTTAGAAAATTTAAAGATATTCTTATGATCCAAGCAGCAAAAAATATTATAAAATTTGGGATAATGTCCCGGGACAGGTTAACCTTTTTCACTAATTATTTAACTAAAAATACATATTTAATTTAGCCTTCTGGTTCAACTTTATTACATTTACGAAAGTTGGCAGTTAATTCAGAAATTTTAAAATGTTCTAATACAAATAATTCTTTACGGAAATTTAACAACATAAGTTTGCCGAATGCTTTGGCTGGACTTCAAATTTTTGGTTCATGTAGGGGTACGAATCTACGTTTAATTGAAGAGTCAAGATTACGGTCTGTTAAGCAAACACCTAGCTATAGTTCTGAGGTTTTAACAAAAATAAAAGTAAAATTAAATTATTTTGAGGTTTCGGATAGTTGGTCACAACGTTTTGACAGTTGCCAATTTTTGGATGTTTCAGAAGATGGGAAAACCTTGTTGGGGTGTTGGTCAACTCAGCGGAATGATATTTTTTCTGGTCATAATCAATGTTCACGAGTATTATCTTTCAAAGTCCATTCAAATTCTGAACAAGCAAGGTTGTTAAATAATTTTTTATAACTAAAAATTATTCTTTAAGACGACATGCTCAGCTTTTGGATGAAAATCCTAAAAAATTATTCGACACAAATGGACGCTTTTCGTGTAACACCTATGGGTTATTTTTTGTTTGTTTTTTAAATTTTAAGTTTACTTGTTAGATTGCAATTTGACCCTCTTGATAATGGAATTTGTCTAGAAACAACAAATCAAGTACTTGTCGATATGGTACTGGCTCCCGCAGGTTTTTACTGATATTTTTCTGAAGGAATAAAAATTCTTCCTTAAAATTTAGACAGAGATGTTACTTGTCTTCTTTTTGCTACAGCTAGTTCCTTTTACAATTCCGTTTGTGACAAATTTCCCCCACGAATTGTTACAAAATGTAATGTACATTTACGACCTATTGAATTTAATTTGAGTGAAGAAGTTATTTTTATTTTTTTCTATTTTTTATAAAAAAAATTTAAGGGCCGTGAATCGATGAGCTCTCCCATTCACAACTCCGAATGGAAATCAACAGAACCTATTTGGTCACTCTGTTTTAATTCTCATCATATGAAGGTGAAAGAATTATTTTTAAAATTCAGATTATTTTAGATTTGTGTTGGAATGGAAAGAAATGCTCGAATATTTAACGTCCTTTCTGGGCAGAATTTCTCTGTATCCAGTGGGGGAAGAAATGTAATTTCGTGTGCTTTTTCAAAGGTTTTTAGTGTCCATTCATTAAAAATGTTTTAATTTCGGGACGGAAACAATCTTTTCTTTGGTCGTAAATCTGCAAATATCTTTGTTGGACCTTCGAATGCATTCAAATCATTGCGCGGGTGAATTTGTTGATTCTGCAAAAAAGTATTAACACAAATGGAGTCTGGACATCTCAATTCTTCACATAAACTTCCTTGTTTCGTTGATGCAAATGAACAATTTATATTTGCTGTTGGCGAGGATTTAATTGTTCGTGGTTGGTCTTTACATACAGGGGAGGTATTTACAACAATTATTTTGGAAGAATTTTTTAAAATTTTTAGTTGTTATGTGTTGTACGTAGTCCAGCAGTCCACAATCAAATTAGGGTAACTTCCGATTGCAATTTCACCAATGGAGTTGACTTTCCGAGAATGGTCTACAGCAATTCGTGGTAATTTTAATTAATTATCATTTTGATACTTACCCGACACTCCCGGTGCAACAGATAATGCCGTTTCTTGTGCTATTATGATGGAAATTTTGGAAGTTTTTGCACACTTAAATGAGCCTTTAGAACATGATATTCTTTTCCTTTTTAATGGATTTTTTGGATATTGTTGGCTTGTTTACAATTTTTTATGAAATGAAATACAAAGATAAGTTGAAAATGGAATAATGATTTAAAAATGGGAGGGTGGGGGGGGGGGCTGAAAGAATACCTAGGACCGGATACCAGGGACCAATGGATACCAGGGACCGGTTAATACCGGATACTGGGGACTAATGGATACACGGGACCGGTTAAACTTGATACGTGGGACCAGACAGGATACCCGGGACCGGCCACAACCGGATACTGGGAACCAGTCAGGATACCCGGGGGTCGGATACCAAGGACCAATGGATACCAGGGACCGGTTAATACCGGATACTGGGGACCAATGGATACACGGGACCGGTTCAAACTTGATACGTGGGACCAGACAGGATACCCGGGACCGGCCACAACCGGATACTGGGAACCAGTCAGGATACCCGGGGGATACTCGGGACCGAATATAAACCGGATACAGGGGACCAATGGATACCAGGGACCGGATACTGGGGACCAGTCAGGATACCGGGACCGGTCACAACCGGATACTGGAACCAGCCAGGATACCCGGGGGTCGGATACCAGGAACCAATGGATACTCGGGACCGAATACAAACCGGATACTGACCGGTCAGGATACCCGGGACCTATTCCTTTTATGAAAATTAATTTAATTTTAAAAATTTTTCTAAATTAAAATTTATAGCTCGATCGAATTTTACAAATGTTGGCTGATTCCAACTTGTTGTTCAACTGGTAATGTTTTTTAATGAAGAACGAGGTTAGCCCCCCCCCACCCCCAAAAACTTATTTCTATTTAGGATTTAAAGAAATAACAACAATTAATTATTTTTATTTATTTAAATAATTTTATTTTGATAAAATTCTGAATATTTATATAAAATTAATTAATGTTTACCAACATTATATTTAAAAATATTTTAAAATTAATTTTTATAAATATAATTTGAAGATGAGAGAATACTCTGAATTTGATGCTTTACAACAAGGGGAGGAGGAGGTTGAGTTAAAATTTATTAAAATGTTATAAAAATAATTTTAAGATGGACTATAAAGTAGAAAAAATTTTGGGGAAAAAATTAAAAAATGGGAGAGAGCAATATTTGATCAAGTGGTCTGGATTTGGACCAGAATGGAGTAATTTCAAAATTGTTTAAATTTTTAACAATGTTTTTGTTTTAGACTCTTGGGAGCCTAAAAAAAATATACAGCACTTGGACGAATTTAAAAATTTTTTTTTGGAGGAGAAGGAAGAAGAATTGTTGGCAAGAGAGGAGAAGCTAGAACGGTTGGATAGATGCTCTCGTAGAGCATCACGAGAAGCTCTAAAAAAAATTTTTTTAATTGTAAAATTTA